CCGCAGCAAGGCAGTTATTACGTGTGTAAATAGTGCATTGAAAATGATGTAAAATTTATTAGTCTTAAAAAACTTATAAAATTTCTTAAAGGTATGATTTTTCGCGTACTGCACCAGGATCTTAAAAAATTGCAATTTCAATGCCCTAAATTATCACTTGAAAACGTAATAACTGTCAGATGACTCAAACAATGTGGCATGGAAGATCCTGCGGTTGTGGTTCATGGCTGCCGAAAGACAAAAAAAGAAAATAAGTGACATGGAAGGGGAAAATGTTGTGGCTTATGACCGCCTGCCTTCACCCCGCTCATGTCACACGTGCCAATTAATTATCTTCATCGAATAAAAACACTTTTTCAACTTCCAAATGTACCCAACGATCTTTTCAAAGTTTAAAGGTTTTTTTTCTCAAAAAAAATCTTTCAATTTTACGTCTTGTATTGCCCATTCAAGTTCTTTGAATATGAACCTGCTGGATATTCCATGATGTCAAGATGTAAGATAAACTGAAGGTGATCATAAATCTGATTGGTTGACAATCCTATCTAAATATAATCTATACACTACAAACCAGACCGTGGTATTGCAGTGCCGGAAAATGGGGAGTGGGGGGGGGGGGCAGAATGTAAAAATCAGGGAATGGTTATATTTGATAAAGGCCGCGGCGCAAGAAAGATACAATCTTAATTTCGCTTGTCCCTATATCTTTGCAACCTGATGGTGTAAACCTTGATATTTCATACTTAGCCTATTTTATCTGTCAGAATTCAAAGTTTGAAATATCAAACTACTACGACAAATCCGGATGCAGATATAAAGGGATGAGAAAATCAGAGTGTGTGTGGAGAAATCAGTTCCATTAGTAAACATAGATGTGGGGTTCCCTGTGTCCTTGGAATAAGAAAAAGGATAAAATTTTGTGCAAATCGAATTTTAACAAACAAAGTACATTTCAGGTAATTTGGTCGCTTTGTCGGCCCTCACATACTCGACACGAAGCTTGACAGTTCAGAGACGACTTAAATTTTTTATTTTGATCCATTAAGCAGTTTGTGGTATTCATTTGTAAATCTATTTTTACAAGAAAGATTGTGTAATTCATATTAGCTTTTAAGGGCGCTTCTTGTCCATCTTCCATTTTAACTTTTAATCGTGGCTTTATCTGTGAGCATCTTTTCTGACAATAGACAACAACAACAATAGTTTTGATTTGACAATAGTTTTATGCGCATTTTTAGAATTTAACAAAAATCAAAAACTTTCGGACAAAATTTTATGTAATTTTCAGCATTCATAAACGTCTTCCCTGGAGTCATGTGAGGTCCCAAACAAAATCGATCGGTTCAGTCGTTTTGACGTTTATTGGATACAAACTTACAGACAAACAGACAAGCAAAGTATATATTCAGAAATTTTAGATTAATAATACTATAAAGTTCGCATGGGGTGAACATTAATCATATATCAAATCCCTTTAGTCTTGGGATTTCCAAAATGTCATCTGCCATCTTTGTGCTTCAAAAATTCTCAAAGATATAAAAGTCATAATTAAAGAATTTTAATAATAAATTTCAAATCTTTATTTTTAAAAACATTTTTTGCTTTCTACAGTGAAACCCTTAATAACGAATACATCGGAAGAAATTATTAAATGTCGTCTTTAAAATTTACTATAATTCGTAAATTTCAGTATTTGTGAAAATAAATAATAGCCATGAATATGTGGGAACAGTTTTAAAGATTTCCATATAATCATTTAATTAAAAAACTAAATATCTGCAACATTCCATTACCAGAAAGTGAAAAATACGACATTTGATGACTTCTTTCGATGTATTCGTTATTAAGGGTTTCACTGTACTTTATTTTGAAATCTTTTGCATTTGCAATGTCAAAAAGTACATTTAAAAGAATAAGTTTCCCATGATTCTTAAGAAAACTCTGAGCTTGTTAAGTGTCGTAGAAAACTCTGAGCTTGTTAAGTGTCGTAGAAAACTCTGAGCTTGTTAAGTGTCGTAGAAAATTGCATTTTCAAACAAAGTATTTCTTTCTCGAAGTTGGCGAGAATTCACCAATAGAAAACAACTCTTTGCCAAAAATTCATGATTAATTAAACTTGCACCAACATTCTATACATTATAATCTAACACAGTAATCTGGGTTTAATTGCAGTGTATGAAGTTTATATCAATACAATGAAGACGACAATAAATTTTAATTTATAAGCTTTTTTAAAAATTAAAGTTTAGAAGTAAAAAAAAATTGTTAATTGACAGCTTCTCTTTTTTCCATGTTATACGTGCATTAATACTGTTGGAAAGCTGCTGAGTAGAAATCAAAATGAGAAATCATTACAATTAAGAAGTCTGTCCATAGCATACAGTGAAACCAGAAAACGATGGAAGAGAAAGATGACATTATAGCAATATTTAAGCGGTTTAATGTTGTTACAAAGCAAGTATTTTTACTGGTAACTTAGCAAAGCACAATTAAAGGGGAAAAGGGTCTATTAATACACTGTACAATTGCCGTGTCTAATGTTCATTGTTCATTGAACTAGTTTAATTGTCCTAACTTGAGTTTAAGGGTCGTCTTCCTATTACAGAGTTTTCTGGTTATCACTGTATTATTCCATAAAAAACCTACAGGAAACCTTGAATTTAGGAAAAAAGACCGTTTTAACCCAGAATTTTGGAGAAATCGAAAGAATTTATAAAATGTCGTATTGACAATATTTCAATGGGTTTTATACTTTCTCAGCAGTTATTATGAAAATTAATAAATATCCATGGTATGTGCGGAAACAGTTTTGATTTGAAGAGCTCATTATAATTATTTAATTAAAGAAACAACATATCTGCAGCATTTCATTAACAGTATGGTTTGGAAAACGTCATTTTATAATTTCTTTCGGTTCCTCCGAAGTTTTGAGTTTAATTTTACCACATTGGTAAAATGTCTCTGAAGTTGATATCTGAGGATGATATAAACGCGATCGATAATTTAACAGCATACTTTATAGGTCTTAACCTTAATACAATCAAGTGGTTCTTAAACTTATTTTGCATTCATCATTTATAGAAACACACAAACAAACATTAAACCCCGTTGAAGTTTAAAAGAAAAAAACTCGAAAGTAGAACTATTTGAAAGACGACTTTCTCATGAACCTTAATCTTCTAACAGAATGCATATTTTGATATACAGGGTATCCCACGAAATATGACAGTTGGTGAAAGGTTTAAAATGTCTTCTTCCATAATTTGTTTTATACCAAAGAAAATAATTTTAAAATATTGTATGGGAGTCATCTTAAAGTAAAGTTAATTTCAAAGTAAAATATATTTGACTGAAAGATTTTTTTGACAAATTAATGTACAAAAAGTCTTTAATATCTAATACAGTATATGGAAGAAGACATTCAAAACTATTCACCAACCTTCATGTTTCGTGGGACACCCTGTATCTAAGTTCTACGACATTGGTGTTGCTAGTCCTACGTTTAGGAATTTGCGATGGAATTTGTGGCAAAGACTCAATTTCTTTCAAAAATCGTTTCATTATCATGTTAACAATTGTGTCATTGTAATGATAACAATTTTTAATGTTTACTAATCGTGTTAGTGTTAAAGGTTTCAGTCTAAAGATCGAAACATCCTTGTAATGACGCGAAATACGTTTACCACCCTTAATATTTAAGTATGCAATAAAGTGTTTATTTTTCATAGAATTTTAACAATGATAGTTGTTTATATTAAAGAATGAAGATAACTTTCGATTTCAATTTTTGATTTCTACTAAGGTTTCAAACAGTATGGATACACGCAAACAGGGAAACAAAGAAAAGCTGTCTGCAATTAACAGCTTCTCTTTGTTTAATTTAATTTTTGGATTAGAAAAAAAGCTTTTTAGAAATAAAGTTTTAAATAAAACGTCGTCTACATTGTATTTATATAAACGCCGACCGCTGTATCGTACAAAAATCCTTTTTATGAATGAAGCAGTTTAGTTCATTCGTTTTTGTTCAAGCCAGGGCAAACGAGGGGGGGAAGGCGACCCGCACCCGTTTTACCTCCCACCCGCAGATGACGTCACAAAATGGGATTTACGGCATGCGCTTACTATTGTGCCGTCCGACCCTCACCCATTTTGCCTTACGGCAAAATGTATTAATTTGTACATGCATTTATTTTCAGCCTGAAGATTGTTTTTATTTCTGTACGGCAGCGTCAGGCAGGCACTACTAGTTTCAGCAAAAATTTGATAATTTTAAAATATAAATTTTAATTGGATTCACAATAAATTTACCCTTTTTTTAATTAAAGCATATTCTTTTCCTGAATCGCACGCCAAAATGCGAGATTTTATTTGAGAAATTATTTTTATTTAGTGTTAAAAAAAAATTTCCAGTAGATTATCGTGAGCCCTTATATGATTAAATATATTGATAAAGACTATACTACGAAAAACCGCATTTATCTTATGAATACTAATGCGGGTCGGAAGACATGTATGGGTAAGTGACGTATATAGTGCAATGCCGCAAATACAATCTTCACTAACTTTGATCAGAATTTTCAAAACTATCGCTTTTTTCAGCGTGAAAATGTGTTACTATTACAAATAAAAAGTACGATGAATAAGTTCTTTATATGATAGATACCATGACGTCTTTATAAATTTAAATTAATGCTTCATTTGTCTATAATTAAATTAAAAATTTTGCCGGAAGGCAAAACTGGTGAGGGTCGAACGCCACAGGGGTTATTGCGCATGCCACAAATCCTTTTTTGTGACGTCCATGCGGGCCGAAGAAAAACGGGTGCGGGTCACCTCCCCCCCCCACACTCCCCCTCGCCAAACCGATTTTACTGCATTATAAATCTATGTATAAGCGAGCGTAAAAAAATCATTTTTTAGCTTTTTATTTATGGCACTAATAATAAGATTTTGTTGTGAAATAAGTACAATTATATAACAATATATTCATAAATGTAAAACGTATTTATATAATATATTATATATTTTTTTTATACAATACATACAATTAATTACTTAAACAAAATTGTGCGCAATCTTAGATGCAATTAACATAAAACAGAGTCTGTATAATAAACATGGGAATTTAGTGACAACAATTAATGTTTATTGTTGTTATTTGAATTTAATAAAAACCAAACCTTATTTAAAATGTAATATTATGAGATTTGCATAAGACACACATGAGATCTTTATGCTTGGATGAAAAAAGTTTTAAAAAATGCATCTCTTTTTTTCTGCAACGGCTAACCTGATTTAGAAGTCATTTTTCTGTTTAAGAAAAATAATAATAGCTTTTCATTTAGTAGTCGTTCCTTAGGTCCCATTTTAAAGAAATATATTGCAACACAAACACTGAGAAAGAAAAAAATATTTTACAAATAGAAATTTTTAAGTTTTAAATTTTAATTAAAGATGAATATTGTGAAGAAAGATATGCCATATTATCGGCTGGAAATCTCCATTTTTTGATGATAATTTTTAAAGAAGCAAGAAATCGAGAGAGTTTAAACTATATGGCACACCACATATTGGCATACAATGATATTAATTAAATTTTCAGGCGGGAAATATATGCGTTAAAATAACAATATAAACACTAAAATTTATTTTCTGGCATCCATTCTATTCATCGCTCCTTGGGAACCGTTTTCCCCTTGAACCCGTTCACGTAGCCGTCAGACTTGGGGTCAACTCGTCCTTCCTAAAAATTTAAAGGGACTGTTAGATTTAAAGGGACTGTTAATTTAAAGGGACTGTTAATTTAAAGGGACTGTTAATTTAAAGGGACTGTTAATTTAAAGAAAGTTTTCTGAACTGTATCCAGGCTGGGCTATTTTTGTCAGATATAGGCCGGGGAAAGGGGTGTTTCCCCCCCTCTCTCCCAATGATTTTGCCTTTGAGTTGAGACACGGGAGTTTGATATATGTCCTAAGTCCAACTTTTCAAGGCTTGTTCATTACAAAAAAATAGACAGCTCTAACTTTAATGGTTACTGGTTAGGGTACAATTGAGGCTTTTTAAAAAGTTCTAAAAGTACGTCGGAAAAATGTTTAAAAATAATTGTATTTAATTTTGACGAAAATTAACATGTGACACATGTTATTACATCCATTTTTCAAAGGCTTTTTAAATATATGAAGTTTAGCTTAGTAGCTTAATTAATAAAAAAGTTATTTAGCATTTCTGATTTTTTTAACACCGACCCGCCGTTTGACTTTCCTCCACCCTACCCTATGCATAAAAAAGATTTTATCAAAATTTGTTTACAACTATATGATGTTGAAAAAGTGAAGAAGCTTAAGTTTAGTAATACGGATATTTGGCATAAATTCCTCAGAGTACGTACGCATTTTTTATCAATCAGTGCAGTCCGCTCAAATTCCGAGTTTTCTGGTTCGATTTTCATTTTCATTAAAATTTTAGAAAATAAAAAATGCTTTTTTTATAGAAAAGTAGGTGATGACTGGTTGGCAAGTATTACAATATGTCATGTTGTGTAGTAAACCATATTTCAATATATTAATATTATTACAAGATAAGATTGGTTCCCAATACAATTCACTCCCACAATCTAATCAATGGTTTCCCCAATACAGGGGAGTAAAAAGTTTCTTTTCCTTTATTTATAAAAAATACTTCATATTTTCTAAAAAAACTTCACGTCCAAAAAATCCAAAAAATATTATTTATTTTCCGCTAAAAAACATTGTTTTTAGAGTTTCCACCAAAATGAACGATGTACATAAATAACTTTCAAACTCTGACTAAAATAAAATGAGGAGAGAAAATGTTATCTATTAAAAAATTGTATCCTAACCCCATTAATGTTTGCCAACATGATATTAATACAAATATGCATTGAAAACAAATAGAGAAAATAAGATTTTACTTATTAAGCTTTAAATTTTTATTATGATAAATTATTGATACAAAGGTACTGAGTTTTTGTCACAAACTCTACTTTTCTAATCTCTATATCTTTGCTACTCAAGACCTTTGATATTTCAAACTATGAATTCTGTAAGACCAAAAAAATTTAAGTTTTAAATATCAAGGGATTACATCATCAGATTGTAAAGATATGGGGATTAGACAATTTAATTTTGTGACAAAAACTCAGTTTATTATATTCATTTCAATCATTTATTTTTATTCTTTTCTTATGTTTTTTAAAAAGACATAAAAATTCACGCTAATTAAAGATTATTTTTTAAGACTAAATGTTGTTTCAATGTTTTTTTTTAACTGTGCAGTGATATTAAGTTTTTGTAAATTTTGGTAAGTTTAAATGTCGTCTTTTATATTTATTCTTCAAAAGAAAAATCTATTCAATGTTGTTTAATAAAAAGTGTATTGTGTGTCACATATATATTACATAAATTAAATACACAGGGAGTGAAGAAAAAATCATGTACAAAAATTAGATAATTTAAAGTTTAAACATATTGTTTGTAAATATGTCTGTTTGTTTGTTTATGTATTATTGAATGTTGTATAATGTATATGTAAGCAGATTAGTATTATTCAAGACTGTTGTTATAGAGTGGAAAGTCTGATTCACAACGGTACCCTTAAAAGCTTTGTCTGATCAAATTGGATTAGAGATGTTCATGTTTTTGATTTTGACAAATAATTATTTACAATTTTGATTTTTCTACAAATTGGATTTGCGCAAAATCTACTGCTGCACAGAAAGCCAACCCTATGTAGAATTATCAGTATTGATCACTTGTCAAGCTAAAAGAAGGCGTTATCTTCTATATTTTCTATCTGATGATACCGTTGTGAATCTGATCTTCTACATATTCTATCTGATGGTACCGTTGTGAATCTGATCTTCTATATATTCTATCTGATGATACCGTTGTGAATCTGATCTTCTACATATTCTATCTGATGATACCGTTGTGAATCGGGTGAGCCCATCTTTAAATCGAGAGTCGCTTGAAAATACACGACAATCCAGTTAATCGACTGATTTCAGCTTTGAATAAAAAACTAATTGTCCAAAGATCGAAGTCGAATTTTTGGCTTTTTCCAAGAAGATGTTTACCCTTCAGAGGCAAAATTTATAGATTTCACCGTTATTAAGCTTTTTAAAGCTTTTATTTTGATCGACTCTTACCTTTCCTTTCCCCTTTCCAGTTGTATCAAATCTTTGTTTGTGAGTTCCTCCATATCTACAAAGTTTCAACAATTATTTATCTGAGCCAAAAAAATTCATGGATGATTTTAATCATAAATCACAAAAACTAGTACAGAAAATTTCAATGGATATAAGTTATAATGCAACATTTATGGAAAACAAATGATTGACATAATTTTGTCTCATAATTTCTGAAATCAATTTACAGTTTAATTTTACTCTTGAAGATCGAAATCCATGGTTTTCATTTTATGAGTAAAACATACGAAAAATTTCATAGGGTCTTAGGTTCTTCCTGTATTGCATTTATAAAACTTTTATAGAATATTACTTGTAAACTCTCAATTTTTGTGTAAAATTTAAAGATTTTCGGTTTGTAAATGCACTTGAGCTACTTTCTCTTTGTTTACCGAGGGCAAACATGAAACTTTAGATATAACACTTTTGTAACATTTAAACAGTTAAAGAATCTTGATTATTCTAAAACATAAAACATGTTCGCCCTACGCAGTCGGTGTTGAGAAAAGGACGAATATTAAAATGATTAAGAATTAAGACGAGTCTCAAGAAAACGCAATTATCTGCAGAATTACCCACAATGGATGAGACAGACGATTGTACAGAATTTGTTCAGTCCGTTTTCTTGCATTTGGGGTTCCTTGACCAGCCAAAACTGGCTTACTTCTGTGCTGAATCATTTGATTAATGCTCAATTGTATACAGAAACCAAAAATCAAGCTTTAAATCGTCGTATTAATAGAGTTTTGGGTTGTATTTACAGTCTCATCATTAGCGTGTAACCCTGTAAGACTGCTGTGTTTATCAATTTTTTGGGAAACCAAAAAAAACCTGGATGTGTCAGTTAATCTGTCCACTGCTGCATTTTTTGCGACGCTCTAAAAAAATATTTAACAATTCTAAGATACATTAAATTGCATTAGTTTCATTTAAAAAAATCGATTATTATTTTATTTTTTTTATTTCCACAATTTTTTACAAAATAATTCTTTTTTATTTAATGTTCAGAATTTTTTTTATAATATGCATTAAGTGAAATTAATTATTGGTATTGACATTTTTTTTGATAATAAGAATTTTATTCTTAATTGGTTCTGAAAAAGCACTTTTTTATAACATATATTTATTACCGTAGCTCCAGAAAGCCCGGGTTTACCACACTCTACAAGCTTAGTTTTCAAGGTGTTGACATGAATACCCTACCAAACCAACAGGATAAAGGAACGGAACTCATCTTTAAATGCTTTAGTAAAATTACTAAAAAAGCAGATGGAAAAAAAAAATTTTCAGGATAAGCATTTTTTCACGACTACTCGCTGTAATGCTTGTTCAATATATTTTATTTTTGACACTTTCAATTCTGATAATACTATTTCTATTGTTTGAAAACTGTTTGTCACGTAGAACCAAGGTACTAACGCAAGGAAAGTTATTTCATAGGTGTACTAATTTTTTGTACTGCAGTGTACTGTCTCTGGCTAGTAATGTAATCACAAAACGGATGTCACAGCCTGACATGGAATCCATTTTCACATAAATAATCTCTGAAATATTCTGGTCGTAGGGAAATATTACGTGAATCATCAAAATTATCAAAAATAAATGCTTTAATCCTCCTCGGATACTAGACGAACACTGATGGATCTACTCTTGCTTACAAATTCCGCCCAAAGAGAACTGGTTTTAATATGTACGTAGAGTATACATAACCGCAATTAACTTTCCTTGCATTAGTACCTTGCACAGAACTATTTTTTATTTTTATTATTATTTCGTTTTTAAGAACTAAATTATTTAAGTATTGTGTAATTTTCAAGTGTTTGTCTTTCTAATTATGTCACATTTTAGAATAAGTTTTAATTTCAAAACATTGGAAGAATCTCATTTATTTGTTGTTTATGTAAAATGTNTGAAATCTTAGAAAATAACAACAGAACTAAAATCACATAAGAATTATGAATCTTGATCGTTCTTTAACCTATTATTGTAAATATTTCTACCAGTTGATAATGATATTGGGTTGTTAAAAAGTGGTTGTACAATTACTCAAAATGCATGATCGTTTGATCGACGACTGATCCTTAACGTTCGTTGTTTAACTGTGTGGGTTAATGTGTCTATTGATGAAGAAAAAACGATAGATAGTCATTGTAACAAATTCAAATTTTAGCTTATGTAATTTATATTCTTTGGTTCCTTGGAATTTGCGATTTCTTCCAGATACTTGTTCCAGCCGGCAAAGCTGAGCTTCGGGGCGTTCCTAAAATAATTATGATGTCAAAAATGGCAGAGCATCCCAGCCTTTGAGTTGCAAAACTTTGTTGAGTTCCCCTCCTGGGCAAATTTTTGTATACGACCTGAGCTGAAAACTTTAGAATCAGATATCCTTAATTCCGATTGCTTAATCTGAGTTGAGTATCCAATGGACACACTTTTGATTTTCTTCTTAATCCTCTCCTTTTGGATATCCCTATTCCCTACTGTATAAAAGTTACTTTTGATAACAATTACAGATACTATGAATTTAAAAATATTGTAAAATTTAATTAAAATAAATTATTAAAGTTAAAACAGATACGATGCTATATTGATTAGACTAATATCCGATTGAACTATAGTCTCACAAGCAGTCTTTTAGAACAAATAAAGAAATATAAACTTAATCATGTTAATATGAACTTGTTAAAAAACATTTTTTATCACATTTGAGGACTATAGTCATTTTTAACGTTAGTCTTAATAAACATTAATCCAAAACTTACGTTTGTTCAATCGATCTTTAGTTCAATTGATATGACACCATCAACATCAGAAATGCGCAATAAATAAAAATCGGTTTTTCAAAAGTTAAAGAACGCATCTTGACATGGCACGCTGATTGGTTGAATTTAAACTTCTTTCTTGGATATCGAATGCGTATATTAACCTCATCTCGGGTTTAGGAAAACCATCAAGCATCCACCATTTTAAAGTTTTCAGCTCTGATAGCTTTTAAATTTTTTCCCCAAATAATATGGACCAATTAATTTATCTTAAAAGAATAATAATAATTAATTTCAGAATATTAATGTATTATAATTATACTAGCGAAAGGGCCCGGCATTGCCGGTAGAAAAAAAATTTTTAGCCTATGCCACCCCTAGACTACCCATTAGTGTCCACAAAAAAATCAGCCCATTTGGTCTAGCCGTTTGGCCGGCTATAGGGAATATATATTCGAATGTCTTGTTTTACTATGTAGATATCTTACTTTGCAACTTTTCTGAATGCAATCCCAGTATCTGTGGTAGAAATCTTTTTCCCATCGATAACCTAGAAAAATCCAATATTATTCTGCAGGGTAAATAAACTATATCAGATTGACTTTTATTATTATTAATATAACAATATATTATAAGATATCCCCAAACCCCTACACGTTTACTTGTACTGTATAGTTTTCAGAAAAAAACTATTTAGATTGTAAACCTTATAAAAAGATCGCATTAATATAGTCAATAATAACGAGTTTAATCACAACCTGAAATCTTATTTTATTGTGCAAATTTTCTACCAAAGAAACTGAGTTCTTTCCACTAAATCTTATTTTTTAATCCTTATACATCTTTTTGTTGTATATCCCTCCAAATTTAAAGTATCAAATATTCAAGGGTTACAACATCATGTTGCAAAGATATAGGAATTTATAGAAAATTTGGGATTGTAGCAAGAACTCAGTTCCACTGTTCATATTATTTCTGATTTTATTGTGTAAAAAGCATTCTAATATCAACAGACTGAACCTGATAATTCAGATAATTTTAATTTTAAATAAGTTTTTTTAAAGAAATAAGTCAGCACACATTAAACTTTCTTGTTACACTTGTTTTCTTAAATAGTTTAGACGATGTGCTTTTCTTAATTTCGTATTTCGCTTAGCAGTAATAACAAACAACAAATCTTATTCTTATTATATATAATCTTATAAATATATTTTTTCATCTTGAAAAGAGAAACCTATAACTTGCAAATTTTAGGCAATGAATATTTTCTATTTTACTTTTTGTAACCTTAATATATCTAATTTTAGGATATTTCCACTGTAAAGACAAAATATTTTCGACATTTTTTAGTTATTCAATCATTTTTCGTCAAAGAAAAATACGAAATAGATAGTGTGCAATTGTGCATTGAATTAAGAAATTAGTCAAAATCATTTTCCAGTTTCTTTTACATTATATTTACAACCTCTTTATACATTGGAAAACTCTTTAAAAGAATGAAGGAAATATCCCCCCACTTTATAAAAATATGTTTACTTTAATTTAGATCAATATTTTTTCGTTAAAGTTTTTTATAATTATTTATAATCACATTAGCAGTATTGTTTTTTCGTTATTATTATCCTTTATTAATATCAAAATTTTTATCAGTGCTATTATTATTATCTTTAGAAGTGTGGATAGTATCATGATTACCGTATCTAGTATATACTATCATAGATTGTGTTGATGTTATTTAAGCAGTTTATGATGATGTTATTGTTACAATTATTGTTATTTCTATCTCTTGTTAACCTTATCTCCGAATTTTGAAAACAAGCTGAACTGTTCTTTTAGCAGTGCTTTATCTGAAAAATGGCATACCATATAATTATAAAATGTTATACTTAGAATAAAATAATCTTTTAAACTTGGAAAGTCAATTTTGTCGAATTTTAAAATCTGAAGCTCATTTTTAAAGTGATACTTGTGTTTATTTATTTATTCTAAATTCGATCTTTCGATGTTTACAAAATCAGACGTTACAAAGTTGTAATATGCTCACTTCACTGAAAGATACAATCGTTTAAAGCATAATCAAAGAATTAAATCTAAATTAAAAGAAACCTGGTTCCTCTACTTTTTCTTCCTCAGCTTTTTCTTCTACTTTTTCTTCTTCAGCTCTTTCTTCTACTTTTTCTTCTACTTTTTCTTCTTCTTTCTCTTCCTTTGTTTCTTCTTCCACCTTCTCTTCTGATGCTGGCTCCTCATGCTTTTCTACTTCATCATCTGGAGTTTCATCTACAAAATTTAAAAACTGGAAATAAAATACAACTGACTAAATAAAAAACCATTTGGCGACCTATGTCAAAGGAATGTAATTACTTTGTATATTACTATGTCTTGGAGCTTGCCTGGGCCTCCCCTAGGAAGCCCAGGCCCAGGCCTAGGAAGATTTAAAGCTGCTTGGAGGTCAGGTTGAAGCTTACCAGGACCTCCCCCTGCCTGCAGGTAGATTTAAATCTTACCTGGATCTTCATCTGGTTGCAGGTCAACTTGAAACTTATCTGGACCTTTTCCTTCCCTTTAGGAGTCCTAAAGCTCTAATAGGACTCTTGAAGCTCTTAAAGCTCACCTCTACCTACCCAGCTTGCAGGTCAAATTGAAGCTTACCTGGATCTCTCACTGCCTGCAGGTCAAATTGAAGCTTACCTGGACCTCTTACTGTCTGCAGGTCAACTTCAAGCTAACCTGGATCTCTTACTGCCTTCAGGTCAAATTGAAGCTTACCTGAATCTCTCAGTGCCTGCAGGCTTACCTGGACCTCTCTCTGTCTGCAGGTCAACTTCAAGCTTACCTGGACCTCTTACTGTCTGCAGGTCAACTTCAAGCTAACCTGGATCTCTTACTGCCTTCAGGTCAAATTGAAGCTTACCTGAATCTCTCAGTGCCTGCAGGTCAACTTCAAGCTTACCTGGACCTCTCTCTACCTGCAGGTCAACTTCAAGCTTACCTGGACCTCTCACTGTTTGTAGGTCGACTTAAAGCTTACCTGGATCTCTCACTGCTTGCAGGTCAACTTCAAGCTTACCTGGACCTCCCTCTGCCTGCAGGTCAAATTGAAGCTTACCTGGACCTCTCACTGCCTTTAGGTCAACTTAAAGCTTACCTGGACTTCTCTCTGCCTGCAGGTCAACTTCAAGCTTACCTGGACCTCTCACTGTTTGCAGGTCAACTTCAAGCTTACCTGGACCTCTCTCTGTCTGCAGGTCAACTTCAAGCTTACCTGGACCTCTCAATGCCTTCAGGTAAACTTGAAGCTTACCTGGACCTCTCACTGCCTTTAGGTCAACTTAAAGCTTACCTGGACCTCTCAATGCCTGCAGGTCCATTTGAAGCTACCTGAATCTTCTGCAGCCTGAAGGTCAACCTGAAGCTTACCTGAACCTCCTGCAGCCTGAAGGTCAACCTGATCAACCTTTTCCTCCAAATCTTTCATTGTTCCCTCCTCCTGGTTCTCCTGCTCCTCCCGTGTTCCTTTTTCCTGTTCATCGCTCATCTGAAACTACAAAACAAAATTGTGAGATCCATGCTTCATTCTCTATCGATGTTCTTTGTTGGAATTATAAAAAGCGATACGACAAGAAACGGTTGAACCTATTCTCTAGTGTGGCCAATTAAGAATGAACCATAGAAATAGGTGAATTAGACATGCCTAGTTCAACTATTTTTCCATTTATTTTAAATCCAACATCAGAGCTGAAAACTTTAGAATGAGATATCCTTAATCCCGATCGATTAATTTATCTGGAGATTAATAGCAAGAGGAAAACAAGCATTATTTAATCTGGAGATTAAGAAAAAGAGTGGATTAAGCATTAATCCCAATATCCAACATTTTAAAGTTCCCAGCTCAGGACACTTAAAAATAATGATTTAAAAGATAGAAAATGAGATCAATAATTAATCCATCCAACGAAAGTGATAAACGAAGCTCATTATTTTCAATTTTACGATCTACAGAGTCTAGGTATCTTAAAAATAATGTGAAATAAAAAGCGTTAATATTTTTAATGATAATATTATTTTAACAACAAATTCTTTCCGTTTTTAAATATAATATACAATAATATATATAATAAACAAAAACTTTTTAAAAATTAGCAAAAGATGATAATTTTTGTTATGGTTTGGATTTACTTTACATAACTTGTTCATCTAAGAAAGGAGAGTGTTCAGGAGGGATGAAGGGGGATGGAGGGCACACCGGACTAACCCAGAGTGAATAGCATTCGGTTTCTTCTATTTAAAATCAAGCGTGTTTTGGTCTATATTTCAACAATCCTTTACTTTACGGATTTGTTTATTCTATACTTTTTAATTCAAAATGCATATGCCGACAAAAAAGTATTCAAGACAAAGGCTAAAAAATTATGTTTAATGGGTTAAATTGTGAGCGAAAGTCACAGCTTTCTGAAATACTGACAGAACCGTTAAATCCACGTGAGGGGGATGGAGAAGGATGAAGGGGGGAGGGAGGGGATAAAAAGCATAAAATACATTTTCCTCACTTTTATACATATGTAATTTACTTTTAGAACAGATAACAATCTGAATTGTCAACATGTTTCCATAAAATGGTGGAGGTCTTAAAGATAACCGAGTTTTGTTTATACTGAACTAACATTGGACGCAGGATACAGATAAGAAGGAACAGAGTTAAGAATATAATCCAATTAATGTAGATTTTGGAAGGTGCTCTTGTACCATTTTTCTTTTATCTTTGTACTGAGTAAATTAATTACAAACAAGGAAAGATTGGTTTTAGAAATAGGTTTAAAATATATAAGCAATCTTTATATATTGTATATTTATACATATATAATATATTTAATATATATGTATATCCATGTTGAATCTTTGAATTAGACTTCTTGAAGTAACCGAAACAACGAAGCGTAGCCGCTAACTATATATAATTAAATTCATTGCTAGTTTAAACTTGTTATAATGATTAAAACAAATAATTTAACAAGGTTTTTAACGTTAATTTTAGAAACCAATGTTGTGTATATGGATTATGCATATATTGAACTTATTGTTTCTATCTTCTAACTTTAATCTTTATTAATGCGCGGGAGGGGGTTTATCAACCAAAATTGGTATTTTATACCAGAGGCGTTTTCACCTTCCCTCACGATATATCTAGTATTTTACCATTCTTAGATATTTTTTAGTTTTGTACTTTTGAATGAATCTTAAATTATTCGTGTAATCTAGTAAAGTAGAAAAACATCCTCCGAATTGACCAAGGAGTATGGAATTGAAGGGAGATTTATCATTTAACTGACGCGGCCCACCCTCCCATATCATTATACATGCTTCGCAAACGGTACTTCACCTAAATAAGAAATATTTGTCTGATGTACAATTACTGCGTATATTTCTTATATAAATGCAAAGCATGTATAATCATATGGTATGGCGGGCCGCGTCAGTTGTATCTCCCTTCTATTCCATACTCCTTGGAATTGACTTCTAAATAATTAATTTAAAGTTGCTCTTAAAGGGACTGTAAGCGTAGTTTCAACCTCCATGCAAAGACACAAACGTAACTGATTTTAAATGGTAGCCTTTATATAATTTAACTGATCATCGAGAGCAGAGTATATTTTCTTTAATATTGAACAGCTTACAAACCAAATAATCAGATTTCAGGTGTCAATGTTACTAAAGAAAATACAAGGATAAGGCCGTCATCCACTTGAATCTTCGAGTACAGTCCCTTTTATTCTTTCTTTTCTAAAACTTTAATGTACAAAGAAAAAAGAAATTTATTTCACTTTGAACTTTAATAATTAATCCACAGTTACATGAATCATTTCTCTGAGAGAGTAAGTTCTGTGAACATTCTAAATTAGCCATTTTGGTATTGGTTTAGTCGGAGTGATTATTCCGGGTTTGTGCCCTTAAAACGCCCCAAAGACTGGAAATATTTTTCAACGATTTTAAGAATGAGCGTGATAAACTGTGATGCCATTTTGGTTTGAAGAACTTTTAAATCGCCTACAATTTTGTTGTTAAATTGCTTGTTCATATTTCTACATTAAATTATAGAAATGGTCTATATTTAGTTGATAAGAAAAAAGGAAGAGTTTGCAGTTTACATATTTTTATGCAAAGGTGCAAAATGTAATAAATGAATTAAAAACTTGGAGTCCAATAAATGTTGGATACTATAAGTACTAATTACTAAAAAGGTAAAAAGGATTACGTTAATTAAAATATATTTGTATTGCTTTCGAGAAAAAAATGCTTACATTTTCAAATATAGGTGTCGTTTAAATAGGTTTTCAGGACCTTTTATAATGTAATATATTTATAAAAAATACCAGTTTTGGTTTAACTTAATAAATGAAAATAAGAAAAAAATTTGATGTATCTTAATAATTTTGAAGGCTTAAAAAAAGACCGTATTTTAAAAATGGAAAAACAATGATTTTGAGGATTTGCTTCAAATGTTCCGAACTTCCGAACGAACTCAAATGTGGTCTCTTAACTGTCACTCAAAAATTGATAAAAATCTGCAATTACGTCTTTTAACTTAAAATTTAAAAAAAACCCGTTTTATAGCTTGAAAATACACACTTCAAAGCCTACAAAAAATATATAGGAGTTGCGACACTTTAAGGTCAAATCAGATTTAAAAATGTATGCAACTTTTCATAGCAGTCTGTATCTTTATATCCAATATCCATATTGATATTATTTCTTCAACCATAAATGTTTTTAGTCTTCACAAAAATAGGTCAATCATGCATAATTTATCACACGGCTCCGTAAATATTTCTCATACGTTATTTCTTTCTTTTTACACATTACATTCAATGGACAGTTTAAAACATAGCTAAATAGACATTAATTTTAATTTCACTGAATAAGGGTCTAAAAAACAAAAGTTTCAGTCTAGAAATATTATTTATCGATATCAGAATTAAGATAAAAAAGTATTTTATTTTTCAGACAAAAAAATGATGTTTCCTATCAAACAGCCATTAAACTTCGAGGTCAAGGAAACACGTTTTTTACTTAATGATTTAAATACTCAGCTTTTCACTGGATTTTAAATCTAAGTAAAATTAATAAACTTAAAAAAAAGATAATTAAATGACAACCTTTGCGTTCAGAACTTTAGACAAAAGCTTGTTGTTTTTGTAAGCAAATACGGAAAAAAGACGTTTTAATGCATGGATAAAATGAAGAAATTTCGTTAAGTTAATCGAAACTACTAAGTACTAATACAATACTGTCAAAGGCTTTCTGTTTATATATAGACTATAAACTATATATGTGGAACCTTAGAAATTGGATTAACTTTTTATTATTTCCCGCCCTGAAAGAAACAGCTGTGTCCTTTTAGACTAATAAGTTTATCTCTCATTAAAATTAAATAAATCGTCACCAAATTTGTTGACAAAAATACCCTCCAAAATTCTATATAAAATGTTTGCCCAAAACTAACAAATTGTCCAGAATTTATCAGCGTAAATGGCCTCGGCTCTACTACAATCCTCAATCCACGGTAGGTTCTGTTTATCTGTAGAGTTTACCCGCCCTTCATCCTCCGTCCTCCACCCAAAATATCAACAGCCTCCATCCGATCCTAGGGGATCCCGAGGATACAAAATTGAATGATCAAAAAAGAGACTTAAAAATTATTCTTTTGGTTAGAAATGGTCATTTCACATTGTCATTTTGAAAATTTGGCCGTATGAAATTTTGGCAGTATGAAAATTTGGCAGTATGAAAATTATTTGGCATTATGAAAATTTGGCGGTATGAAAATTTGGCAGTATGAAAATTTGGCAGTATGAAAATTTGGCATTATGAAAATTTGGCCGTATGAAAATTTGGCCGTATGAAAATTTGGCAGTATGAAAATTTGGCAGTATGAAAATTTGGCATTATGAAAATTTGGCATTATGAAAATTTGGCAGTCTGAAAATTTGGCAGTAAGAAAATTTGGCATGATGAATATTTGGCAGAATGAAAATTTGGCAGAATGAAATATTGGCAGAATGAAAATTTGCCAAGATGAAAATTGGCAGAATGAAAATTTGGCAGTATGAAAATTTGGCAGAATGAAAATTTGGCAGAATGAAAATTTGGCAGTAAGAAAATTTGGCAGTATGAAAATTTGGCAGAATGAAAATTTTGCAGGATGAAAATTTGGCAGTATGAAAATTGTTATTTCAAAAATTTGGCAGTATGAAAATTCAATTTCATTGACAAAAATTCAAACTCAATATATAACTTTGAAATTCTTTTTTGATTATTTAAAAATTGAATTTTTAAATCTGAAAGATTATGCCTAAACCCTGCAACCATTGCATGACTCACTGTTTGCTTGAGCCTGAGGTTCCTTGATATGACTCATACGCATAATGAGCCTCAATTTAAACTGCCAGGAGACAAGGAAGGATCCGTTTGAAAATTACAATGGAAAGAACCTGTATTTTGCCGCCATTTTGAAATAGTTACGTTATTACGGTTATTTTTTGCCTTTTCATTGCAATTTAACTATTTTACTTCTAGCCCAATCGGATTAAAAACTGTTTTCGTGGCATAATTTAGCAAAAACACAGTTTTGGGATTTGAATAATTGTTATCAGTTATGATGTCTACTATTATCATAAGGAAAGATATTTTATTGAATGAAAAACTTCATGTTAAAAAACCGGAACTGGTAAATCAAAAAAATAAGAATTAGTTTAATTTAGAAAAAGTTTTTATTCATATTTCTAATGAATAATTAAACCGTGAAATTTGATTTTGATTTTAATAATTTGTTTTTTTCCGTTTTTATGAATTTTTAGATAAAGCCTAGGGAATACTTACACGTTGTGTTTAAGTTTTGAATATTTTCCATGAGACCTTTGTGCACTTTATGTTTCATGCTCAGGTCATAGTTAATTTCATTATAGCAATACTTTTCCAGCTTAGTTCTTATATCAACTAAACTTCAAATTATTGTTAACTTTGTCATTTAAGAAAACACTAATATACTAAAAAGAACAATATGTGCACTGTGTATTAAAGGATATGCCAATGTGGAGAAAATGTTGTTAGTGCATATTTCCCCTGGCAGGCGCTATATAACTGTGCAGTGCAACCCCCCTACAAAAAATATATAGGAGTTGCGACACTTTAAGGTCAAATCAGATTTAAAAATGTATGCAACTTTTCATAGCAGTCTGTATCTTTATATCCAATATCANCCCATGAAAACATTATTTGAGAAGAATAACTAGATTTTCTAATCTACATACATAAGAGAACGCATAGTGCTTGACAAAATCGGAGTATTTAAATATTAATTACGTCCTTTTCATGGTAATAATTGAAAGTATCTATACTATTACTTTAACTACACACAAAAAATAAGAGTGTTAAAGTAACTGAGTTTTTGTCACAAACTCTACTTTTCTAATCTCTAAATCTTTGCAACCCAATGTCGTAGACCTTTTATATTTCCAACTATGAATTCTGTAATCTATGTTTGAAATATCAAAGGTCTACATCATCAAATTGTAAAAATATAGGGATTAGACAATTTGAGTTTGCAGTGACAAAATCTCAGTTCCTTTTGCTAATGTTTTTTTGGTATGATTTCAACAATTTAAAACCTTGAAATTTGAAGTGTATAAAAAAATTTGAATCGCATAATTTTTAAAAAAATTTTCCTTTAACTTTCGATTAAAATATCTTTATTTATTAAGTATATTATAAAATCTTGTATGTAGCATACCTACAAATAATCTTTAAATGGAACTGAACACAGCCTCAAAATATAATTTCTAAAACCCTATATCTGCGCAACCTGATGCTGGTTTGAAATATCAAAGGTCTACGACTAAAGGTTGCGAAGATATAGAGATTAGAAAATTAAAGGTTGAATCGAAAATTCAGTTTCTGTAATCAATTAGATTTTATACAGTGATAACCAGAACTTTGGAATAGAAAGTCGACTTTGAGACAAAGGTTTGACTTTAAAGAGTCAAATGAACATAAGGTAGAGAAAATGTGCAGTGTAAACAGGCCAATTTCACTTAGAAAATTATTTAATAACTTTCTAGTAAAGCTTTTTGCTTTGGAACACCATCAAATGCAATTCATTATACTGTAATGTCGTCTTCCTATTCTACAGTTGTCTGGTTATCACTGTATCTTTTACGCGCCTATCACTGATAAGAACAAATATTAACTGCAATTTTGAGCGCACTCCACTACGCACAATGAGTACGCATAAACATCTTCCAAGGGTACGCAACTTGTGACGCAGGATTCTAAATTTTGGTTACACTTGAGTTTCAGCGATTCAATGGTTTCCTCTGCATTGTTTGATGCTGATGTTCCAACAGGGTTTGAAGCTTTATCATCGATATTATTTATATTTTCATCTATATTAGCGCCATCAGTCAACCCTTGGGATTTTGTAGGTAATAAATTCATCTTCATTTTTCCTAAATTTTATAATTATCAGAGAATTACCATCTCACGTTTAAATTTAAAAGAAATTTGCACAGATATTACCAATAAAACGCGTGATGATTGTCGTTTTTGCTTTTTTATTTAAAATTCCATTCCGCTATAGTAGGCGTTTATTTCAATACAATGAAGACGACTGTATTATTTAAGTTTTAGTTGTTAACCCTATTCCTGCTGGGGGGTTCAATTTGACCCCCCCCCTGTAGTTTTTTTTTACATAACTCAAAAAGCATTGGTCTGAGGCTGTTTAAATTTTATGACTTTTCCTACATACCCAAAGCCCTCCCTTTAGGCCTAAAACCGGGCTTTAATACTACTTGCCTGAGTCCTCAGGCACACTGCTTGAATGACTGCTTTTTCCTGTAACAAACTAAGTCTTTGTTTTGACCCACTTCCACTTGTCAGATTTTGATAAAATTCAGCTTTTTAGAAAGCCTTTGACATAAGGAAACGAATTGCACAAGTTTTCCGAAAAAAATTGCAAATTTTTTGCAAACAACCTGTCATAGGAAATTTGCACATTTTCAGTTTTTCTTGATTAAAAATCAGGTTATTTAAAATTTTGCAAAAATATTTGCATATTTGAAATGGCATGGTCAAGGGCTTTTCAAAAATATATAATTTTTTATTTTTTGGACAAATGTTTTTTTGCAAAAATTTTTACTATATAACTGAATTTTGCGATAACAAATTCAATTTTTGCAAATTTGCAATTTTTTTTGCAGATTCTAAAAGTAGAGCACAAGAGCTTTTTAATGATGTATCATTTGTCATATTTGGACATCAAACATGGGATTTCAAGTACCCCAGCAGAGATGCGTTAACAAGTTTTTTTCGAACTACAAGTTTACAAGTAATCAAAGAGAAGCTTTTTTTAATTGACAGCTTCTCTTGACTTCTATGTTCATGTGTATCCATGCTGTGTAACAGCTTGATTTCAATCAAAATTGAAATCGAAATCTGTTTTCATTGTATTGATATAATCGCAAACCACTGTATAGGAATGAGGTATGAATGAAAAAATGTTCAGAGCTGAAAAGTTTAGAATGAGATATCCTTAATCACGATAGCTTAATCTCATTATCAAATGTACACACTTTTGATTTTCTTCTTATAATCTCTTTTTGGATATTTCTACAGCAAAAAAGCTACGTTTGATAACAATTACAGATATAATGCTATATCGATTGGACATATAGAGGATTGGATTAAAGTCAGCTGTTCACAAGCCGGCTTTTAGAGCATTTAAACAAATATAAATTTAATCATGTTAAGATGAAATTATTAAAAAACCCATATTTTAGAACTATTGTCATTTTGAACGTTAGTTTTAATACACTTTATTCCAAAACCTGTTTGTTCAATCGATATTTAGTTTAATTGATATGACACCATCAACAAAAGAAATCAAAACCGGTTTTTCAAATGTTAAAGAGTACATCTTAAAATGACACGCTGATTGGTTAAATTTTTAGCTTCTTTCTTGGATATCGAATGCGTTTTAAAATAGTCTTGGGTTTAGTAAAACCAGGAGTTTAAGCATTAATCTTGATATCCACCATTCTAAAGTTTTCAGCTCTGAACACTATAAATAACAGTGACAAATTACAAAACTTTTAACGGTATTTCTGATTAAATTAAAATATAAAGTTTTTGAATTATAATTTCTAATAAACAATCCAATGTACACTTCGCAAACACTTCAACGGAGAAAGAGTCCATTAAGTTTAATTCTACTTCTAAACTTTAAAGGGACTGCTGTTGAATCTAGAATCTGCTGAACACTAGATTCAGTTATTGTTCCTTCAAAAAAAATGAAAGTTTAAAGAGCTTAAAATATTGATACTTCAAGTGAATGTCTGAGAATTTTCAAATGATTCTACGTTTGCCCGATTGACAAACACGTGTTTAAGCTTTGTCTGACTTCTGAACAAAAATAGGAAAATTGAAGTGTGTTCTAGCCACAAACACTGATTTGACTTCAATCTCAAATACTTCGTTACCTGGTGCCATTACCCTATTTTCACGATTTGTAGGTAGAGGCACAAATCTAAGAAAAAATTTCAAGATTAAAATTAAATTTAAAACTTGTCTTTTGTGAGATTTCATCTACTTCCATTCGTACTCTTCGTACAGTGATAGGCGATTATATAATTTTAATGAGGACAACTTTTTTCAAAGTTTTGATATTAACATAATTGATTTCTATGTTTATGTGTATCCATGCTGCTTAACAGCTTGATATAAATCAAAATTGAAAGTCGAAAGAAAATCGTCTTCATGATATTGATATAATCGCCTACCACTGTATGACTAGCTAGAAAATTCGTACATAGTTTCTATATCTTTGTTTAGCATTGAAATTTTGAAATATCAATTTAATCGGTATCATGTAAATGAAATATAAATAAAAATATTTGTGCGTGATACCGTTGAAAAGACAAAACCTATTAAATTATTTATGTTTCCGTTCTGTTGTCACCAATACTATTCTTTAAATAAATATGGGTACACTTTCATTGATAATTGTTGCCTGTATCGTTTTCTCTCCGTATAATATTGAGCAAAAGTTAAAAGATAAACATAAAATATTTCCCTTTTTTGTCCGTGTAGACGTTTCGAACGACTATTTTCGTCAAATAATCTAACAATTCATCAAACAGAACAAATTAATATAGACTTGGAATTGGGATTTTCATACTACAGCCAACGCTGTTTGAAGCTTGTGACCCCCACCCTCCCTTTACCCCAGCAAACAATTTCAACCCAACCTATTTTGAGAAGTTGTGGAAGTAAAGGATGAAAGAAGTGTTGTTGTTTCCAGATCTACTATTCTAGTTGTTGTTGTAGCTTCCACTTCTTGGGCTGTTGTTGCTGTTGTTGTTTCTAACGTTTGTGTTGTTGCTGCCGTTGATTTAGTTACTGTTTGTGCTGGTGCAGCTGTTGATGTAGTTACTGTTTGCGTTGTTGCAGCTGTTGTTGTTGCTGTTGTACGCTGCAATGGGCGTATCGTAACAGAGGCCGAGAAAAACCTAAAGATGAGATATTGTTTGGGTACGAATGAAGAGAAGATTGTCCTGAGATGGAATTTGAAGAATTTGAGCCGCGGTTTAAATCCGCCAAAACCCGGTTTAAATTAAGCGCCGGCTTAAATTTTGAAACATTTGATACAATTTTAAGTGGAACCAACCATATTTAAACCGCGGCTCAAATTCTTTAAATTCGGCCACTGGGATTTTATTTCACTTTATCTGGTTTTCTCTGTAACCTGCTGCAAGTAAGGCATTTTGAAATATCTTGCACATGTCAAACTAAAGTAAATGAAAATCCTTTATGTTTTCAATCTTAAATCTGCTTATTGAAGAGTTCTTGAGAAGAACAAAGTGTTTGAACGAATTTGTTTTGTAACCGGATAAAGAAATTGAGTCTTAGTAACAAACTGAAATTGTCTAATCCCTAAAACTTTGATATTACCAACTTAGACTCAAATCCTTTGGTATTCGCACACTTGTGCCGTGCGTAAAATCAAAACTACTTGAGCTACGAGGTCACAAAGTAGTAGCAGTAACACTCGCTCAAATTTGACCTTCACTTTCTGTAGAATTCACAGTGTGACTATATAAACTCATAGATCTTAATTGTACAGCTTACCTGCTTATTTCAGATGATAACGTTGAGGAATCTAAGTCCCTGAATTATTAATGTGATAAAAATGTTGTATTGGTTGTAATTTTATAAATAAATTATTCGTCTTCAAATACTTTTCTTTTTTCTTTCGGTTTTGTCCTAATTAAGAATAATGCTATCAATATGACTTGTTTCTCGGGAATAAATTGTTTCTGTCATGGCTTAAACTAGTTTTTTTTCGAAAACATATATTCACTCAATCTAAACAGAAAACATCTTTTAGTTTTAATGCAAATTTTGAAATTTCATGAAAACTTTTTAATTTTTTTAAGTTTACCTTGGTGCTGACGGTGTGGATTGGATTGTCTCCTCTTCAAGTCTACTTTCATTGTTTTTTCTTGAAAACTCATCATCTAGAACAGAAAACAATTATTTGATTTTTCTATCACAAAACAATCATTTTACTCTCAATATAGTTACGCTACTCGTTTTAGAATAAAAATATAAATTTCAACATTAAATCATTTTTTAAGTAGAAAAAGAAAGTCGTTTTTATTTCTTAAAAAGATATTTTTATAATTTTTGTCATGATGTATTTTTTTTAAATATTTTATGAAAAAAAACAGAGAGCAGATTTTTACCGTTCTTCCTGCCCTGTTGCTGATCAATTTTCACTGTTATTGATTCTTCCAATCCAGTGTTTGGTGAGTTTGTAACTGTTTCGCCTAAATTTCCTTCCGAAGTTGATAGATCTAGGATTTTGGTTGCAGGATCGCGCATCTTCTTAGCATTTGTCTGAACCATCGTCCGACTATTTTCTAGTGGATTTGTCCTGATTGACAGAAATCCAGAAATTCGTCTGGATCCGTTTTCCCTCCTTCTTGAACCTCGCTGTTGTGGATTGGATGTTTGAGGTAATTTCTGAACTGAATCTTCCGAATCTGATGTTTTATCCAAAATATCTTAGCAAGGGTATTTATTGAATAATGGAAGAATTATTTTTATACGAAATAAAAACATTTTCAGGAAATAATTTCTTTGAGAAAAAAGATTAGTTTTAATAATTTTTTAATTAACTTTTCTAAATTAATTTTTCTTGCACCAACAAAAAAAATTAACACAAAATTAAAAAGTAGAAAAGAAAAAACTTACTTAGTATATGAACGAAAAGATGTCTGTAAAACTGAATACCATTCTTTTGTTTCTTTTTGGAATAGCAAATTTTTTTAGGCTGATATAGTTACGTTGACAAATTATCGTTCTAAAAGTACCAATTCTTTGGGTTTAATTTGCAAACTTTTAACTGTTTTCACGATTTCAACGTTTTTAAATTTAGTGTTTAAAGATATGATATTTTGATATCATTAAGATATTTGGATAAATTAATTCTCGCATGATTTAATAAATTATTCTGAAAATCTACAAGAAAACTTGAACGAGTTTAAAAATTTTTTTAATCAAAATTTGTTCAATTGTTATTGAGTTCCACATATTTTCGGTGAAAATTTTAGTAAAAATCAGAAAGATTGTTTAAGCATATTTTCTTTCTGAAATTGACCAATTAGCATAAATTCCTATGCCTTGGTGCTTTGTTGATGACTCAAGATTTATAGCTTCTTTGATTTCTGATAATATTGATGAGCTGTTGTTTCTGCGTTCACTGGTAATTGCATTTGCAGGATTTTTCACTGGAACTTCAACATTAATTTTATTTATATCTTTATCAACATCTTTAACAGGATTTCGTTTGATTTCACCATCCTTTAATGAATTACTGCTCAGTTCCTTTTCAGGAGTATTTATTGACACTTTGGTATCTAGGTTATCTTCATTAGTGTTGAATAGCACAGTTGGTACTTCTGTCAATTTTGTTGGCGGTCTTTTCTATAAGTATCAAAATTTGTAAAAAAAGAAATATTTTTTATTTTGAGCTAGCTGAAGCACCCGTGGGAACAAATACCATTTTGAAAAAAAGATTATAATTTTGAAAAAAAAAGACGACTTATTTAGCCTTTGTTACCCCTCGAGTTCCATGGGTTCCCTCAAAAAATGTCAGCCAATTTGGTTTAGCCATTTGGCTAACTATAGCTAACATATACAAGTATAAATATAATATAACTATACAAAGAGCTTTATACTATAGATATCTTACCTTATTATGTTTTCTGTTATTAGTCCTGTTTCTCTCAAATTTGTTTTTTATTGATGTTTTATTTGGTTTGTTGATTTTTTGTTGAACGTTTACTTTCTTTCTTCTTGAGTTTATCCTAACGGTTAACCCAGTGTTGTTAAACACCCTGAGAACTGAATTCTACAAATATTATCATTGTTCAACTTTTTAACGTATAATTATATAAGATATTGTGGTTTGATTGTCTTCAAGAATTGTTAAAAATATTTCCTAAAAGAACTCACAGGTCTGCCGCTTCAGTGATTGTACAGAGTTACCCACAAAGAATGAGAATGTAAAGACTACCCAAAATCTAAATATATGACGATTTAAAGCTTGAATTTGGTTTCTGCATTCAATTTTGTATCTTGATGCTTTATGAAATGATTAAGCACAGATATAATCCAGTTTTGGCCAACCAGAAACACTGAATGCAAGAAAAAATGGACTTTAAAAATTCAGTAGAATCGTCTCTGAAGTCTCATCCTTTGTTGGTAAACCTGTAAATGGGCGGATACAGTCCAAACTAGGACCGCAAATGTTTGCATATTTAATTGTACACCGGTTGTGCGTGTTAAATTAAGATCAAATTAATTTAAATATCATTTCATATTTTAGATGAAAAAACACCGGATTTTTTTGTAAGTAAAGAATTTGATTTTCTTTTTAATGTATTTGTAAAAATAATTTCAGGCATGTTTTTTTGCTAAAATTTCAGGGTCCGGTTTTGTAAAACCACTCCTATTTAAAAATCAATGTTAAAAACATTAATTTTTTGTAAATTAAGATTTAAGATATGATATATAATAATTACATGTTTTCTACTGGAAGGGGAGATTGATGTAAGTATGGGTTCACTTTTTCCAGTTGTGGGTTCTAAATTAAAATATGTTTATTAATATCTAATATCCTGGAACCAGAGGCTGAATTTAAAGAATTTGAACCGTGGTTAAAATATGGCTGGTTCAACTTGAAATTTTAATCAGTGTTTCGATATTTGAGCTAGCGGCGTGCAATTTGGGACGCTGATTGGTGGTTCAAATTCATTAAATTCGTCCTCAGATTTGATAAATAGTGAGACGTAGTTCAACTACTTTTCTTTTACTTGAACCGGCGAACAAGATCAAGGGATGAACTACGTCTGTAAGTAGTTCAACAACTTCTTTATATTTATTAAATCTAGTCAAGGATATCTGATCTATAAATTATAATACAGTGATAATCAAAAAACTCTGGAATAGGAAGTTGACTTTTATACTCACTTTATGACTTTAAATAATCAAATGAACATAAGGTACAGAAGTGTAACAGTTTATACAGACTCATTTCACTAAATAGGTGTTCTAATGATTTAATAGTTAATTAAGCATTTTGGTTTGTAAAAGCATCAAATTCACTTCAATTGCTTTAATGTCGTCTTCCTATTCCAAAGTTTTCTGGTTATCACTGTATCATTAGTCATTTTCAATCAAATTATTACATTCAAGTATTAACAAGGCTCCAAAAAGAGTAAATCGAAGGAAAAAAAATACGGGCAGGACTGCACAAAGTGGGCCTAATTTCAGTCGGACTATACATACGGGAGGTTGCTTATTTCCAGAAGGAGGGGCTCAAGGCATATTTGAAATTTTTAAAAATTATAAATTTTATTATTATCTGTTATTATAATTCATTGAAGAATTTTACCTGAATCAGAATTGATTCCAAACTGACAGTTTGCAAAGTGAATACACCTGCTTTTAGCTTGAGATAATCTAGAATTTATAAAATATAACATCTATTATATCAATATGATGAAGACGACTTTCAATTTAAATTTTGATTTATCAAGCTTTTTAACAGCACGGATACACAAAAATTTTTGTATATGATAATGATTTTTTTTTTCAAAATTCAAAAATTTGAAGTGTTTATCGTAATAAATCTTATTTACCATTTATTTAAAGAGGGGCGTGTCCGACTCACAATGAAACCCTTAAAACCTTTGTCTGATCAATAATTTGGAAGATATTGTCGTTTTGCTAGCTTGTAAAGTGTTTGAATATATTAAAAATTTTTTAATATTACAAAGCTCTATGAAATAAATATTACGTCTACAGTTCCTTTAGGGACCATTGACAGTCCGCATACACTTTATGCTGTAAAAGATAATTCGATTTATAATTTGAAAAAATATTCTCCGAAAGTATTTTTTTGTCTGGAAAAATTCCAGTTTAAATTCTATGGTCTCGTAGAAGCAATAACAACAGAGATAAACAAAGAACACAATATTGTAAAATAAAAATAAGAATATCGGTTATGATAATTATTGCAATATGTAGAATGTACCGCTAACAATATTAATACCAATATTAGATTTTTAAAAACCAAGAGGATTCTGTTTGCAAAATAAACAAAAGAAAAACAAATAATAAGAAATATTAATACAACCTTTAATTATATACTGTGTTACAAAGACTGAGACTTAAATGACGATCTAGAGGTATTTAAATCTTACAATCTTGGGCTGTTGTCTTAGTAAAGTCTTTTACTGATATATATTAAAGGATTTGACAAAGAACAGAACTTTTTTAAAGCTGTATTGCATAGGGAACCATGAATTTTAGGAAAAAGGATTAAAAAATGCTATACAGTCTAAGTCTCATCCTTAATGGTAATTGGGTAACCCTGTAATATATCTCTATATGTTAAAATTAGAAATATAAAACCTCGACGTTTTTGTATTTAGCCAACATAACAAATATTTTTCGTTTTTTCTTTTAAAACTATGCTGATGAGAATTTTTAACTTTTTTAAAATGATCCATCAAACTTTTCATATTCATATTCATTTAATATTGCAATTTGCAAAAAAAAATAAACATGTATATATACTTCGCTTGTCTGTCCGTTTGTGTCCAATAAGCGTCAAAACAGCTGAACAGATCGGGCCCAAACTTTTTGTTGGACCTCACGTGACCCCAGGGAAGGTTTATGGATGATCGACCTTTCACAAATTTGCCACTAACAAAATTTAATTTTTGAAAATTTTGGATATCCACGAAATTATTTTGATAAAATCCGTGAAATTTTCGTTTATTTTTGTTTTACAATGTATACAACGAGAAAATGTTCACAACTGAAATAGATGGGCCCTAAAAGCTTAATATATTTGAATCTATATATACTTGGCTTGTCTATATATATCTGTCTGCCTTTCCCGTTGTATCCAATAAACGTAAAAACGGCTGAACCGATCGGGTCCAAATTTTGTGTAGTACCTTGCATAAGGTTTATAGATTATCAAAGTTTTAAAATTTTGCCTACAATAAAATTAGATTTGCATTAAATTATGAAAATGCACGAAATTTTTTTTTATAAAATCCGCAAACTTTTTTGTTTTTGTTTTAAAATGTAAACAAAATGAAAATGTTCCCAGTTGAAAAAGAAGATGGGCGCAAAGACATAGCTAAAGCTGGCAAAAAGGCTGGACCAAATTGGCTGATTTTTTTAGTGAACCCCGTGCAGGTATTCCATGCACTTTAACTGTTTTCCTTTTCCTTTTAACAGATGTTAGTTTGAAAACAAAACTTGATAAAACTGATTTCTGTAAACGTTTACACGTCGGCAATTTTAAAAGATATTTGATTAATAAAGCATATTTTAGAAACATTACACAATACACAAAACACAAAAATTAAAAATAAGAATTTTTTCAATCGTGAAGGTGTTGGTCTGAAGGTGTAAGTGTGTAGCAGAAAAAAAAACTAAAAAAAGTGACGAATATTCAAACAATGCAATTTTAGACCAATGTTTTCTTTCAGAACAGAACTTGGGATTTCCAAAATAATATAAAACATCTTTTTTAGTTAAAAACTGAGGATTTGACGAAAATTTTAACACTCAAATTAAAAAATGTTCCAAAATGGCCCAAAAATCACGTTTATTCTGGCGACAGGCAAAAGAAAATTTGGGGATTTTTCTAAGTTTCATATACATCTATTTCATAAAAATATATATATTAATTTATTTTTTTATGCGGGAGCTTTTATGTCTTTTCTGGACCTGTTCAAAATCTCGTTTTTTTCAGGCAAACTTTTTTTAAGGCAAACTTATTTTAATCGTTACCTTGTTCCAAACTTTACTCTGTCTTCTTGTATTCCGGGTTCCTGGCACATAGAGGCAGAGAGGAATACAAGGAATACAAGGAATTCAGGAACCTAAACAAATTGGAATACAAGGAATAAAAGGCTTACAAGGAATACATGGATTACAAGGAACCTAAACAAATAGGAATACAAGGAATACAAGGAATACAAGGATTACAAGGAATATAAGGATTGCAAGGAATATAAGGATTCCAAGGAATACAAGGATTACAAGGAATACAAGGATTACAAGGAATTTAGGAACCTAAACATAGGAATAATAGAAAACATATGAATACAAGGAAACATAGGAATACAATGAATACAAGGAATACAAGGAATACAAGGAATACAAAGAATTCAAGGAATGCCAGGAATTCAAGAAATACAAGGAATTCAAGGAATACAAGGAATTCAAGAAATACAAGGAATTCAAGGAATACAAGGAATTCAAGGAATACAAGGAATTCAAGGAATACAAGGAATTCAAGGAATGCAAGGAATTCAAGGAATACAAGGAATTCAAGGAATACAAGAAATTCAAGGAATACAAGGAATTCAAGAAATACAAGGAATTCAAGGAATACAAGGAATTCAAGGAATACAAGGAATTCAAGGAATACAAGAAATTCAAGGAATGCAAGGATTTCAAGGAATACAAGGAAATCAGAACCTAAATATAGAAATTCAAGGAATTATGGAACTTAAACATAGGAATCCAAGGAATACAGGGAATACAAAGAATACAAGGAATACAAGGAATTTAGAACCTATATATAGAAATACAGTGAATACAAGAAATTCTGGAACTTACGCATAGGAATAAAAGGAGTACAGGGAATACAAAGAATACAAGGAATACAGGATATACAAGGAATACAAGGAATACAAGGATTACAAGGAAAGCAGGGAATACATTGAATAAATAGAATACAAGAAACCTTAAAATATGAAATGTTAAGGATACACACAAACATGAATTTTACAACAATTTAAGTTATATTAATAAACTTATGAATTAATTGTTTTAATGTTATTATGACAGCTAAATGCTGAACCGTGAAAAGAAGATTTTCATTGTCAACAATATTAAACGATTAGTCGAAATATTTTATCAAAACAATTTTTCTATTCTTTCATTTTTATATGTGAATCCATTTGATATTCTTTCCAAAACGTGCAAATGCATTTTCAAGTTTACGAAAACAATTTGTCAATATCACATTACACGTTAAGGTGTTGAGAACTTTCAATAAAACGTTAAGACGCATAGAACTATCTGTTATGATTTTAAGGAGCTTGCAATTTTATAGAGAACGTTATGACGCATAGAACTAACTGTTATGATTTTAAGGAGCTTGCATCTTTATAGAGCACTTTAGGGCGCATAAAACTAACCGTTACGATTTTAAGGAGCTTGCAACTTTAAAGAGCATGGTAGGACGCATAGAACTAACTGTTTTGAATTTAAGGAGCTTGCAACTTTAAAGAGCACGTTAGGACGCATAGAAATAACTGTTATCATTTTAAGTAGCTTACAACTTTATAGAGCACGTTAGGACGCTTAGAAATAACTGTTATAATTTTAAGTAGCTTACAACTTTATAGAGCACGTTAGGACCCATAGAAATAACTGTTATAATTTTAAGGAGCTTGCAACTTTATAAAGCACGTTTAGAAATAATGTTAAAACATTCAGAGTTTTTTTAATAGCAAGTTCAGAAGCGCAGAACTATTTAGAGCACGTTAATTAGCTCACAAATGATATCAACAGCTTATAAATATATATATATATCAAAACTTAAATATTTCATGAATTATCAACCAAACTTTTAAACTATGTATTTAAAATATTCTGTGAACAAATACAGCACAATGCCCTTTTCTTTAAACTAAGTGTTCGTAGAATAGATTCAAGCTATTCCTAATTTTGCTGAAAATATGCATATACATAGTTATAATTCTTATAAATTATGTTATTTAGCTGTATTTCATTGCACTTCCTTCAACAAATCCTGGTTTTTTCTGAAACAAATCTTGCGGTTTTCTTTCAATAAAATACATTTGAAATATTTTAACCTTTCAATTTTGTGAGATTTATCATCTTTGTTCAATTTTCTGGGGTTTAGTGAGAACAAAATTCCAATTGGTTTACAAGCCTAACAATTTATCAATATCATTTTTTTTATGCATAATATTCCAAATCTTTAATTTTCAAGGATGTTTATTTTCCTATAAACTTTTCCCAATCCCAACAATAAGAACGTTTAAGGTAGCGATGCTAATATTTTAACTTTAATCTTTATATTTTGCTTGTCTGTTTGTTTGTATCCAATGAACGTCAGACGGCTGAACTGATAGGGCTTAAATTTTGTGTGGGACCTCACATGACTCAAGTTTAGGTTGAGGAATGATTAAAATTTCAAAATTAACCTCCAACAAAATTCTATTTTCATTAAATATTAAAAATCCGCGAAATTTTATATTAAATCCGCGAACTTTTTTTGTTTTTGTTTTACAATGTATATAATGAGAAAATGTTCAATTGAAATAAAAGATGTGGGCGAAGCGCCCTAAAAGCTTAGTAATATACACTTTGGTTTGACAGACAAAGGGTTACCCAAAAAGGATAAGACTTCAGAGACGATTGTACGGAATATTTCTTGTCTAATATTTATGATTCCCTGCAACTGTAAACTAACTTCTTTCTTTTCTAAATCATAAAATAAGATATTAAAAGACTGTATTTAAGGAAGAAGGCTTAATTCAACCTTAGGATCGTCATATTTACAGAGTCTTAGGTCGTCTTTTCATTCTGATCCTTTGTGGGTAGCCCTGCACGTTAGGCTTATATAAATATTTTAGCCTGAACATAATTCAAACTGTAGATTTAAATATTCTTTTAGTTTATTAATTTTAAAATACGATTTCATTTGTCAAGGACGAATCAAAATTCATTAACTGTGCATTCTGGTTTTTACTTCATATCTTATTGTTTATAGTTTTTGTAATTATAAGCCATCCGTTTCATGACTTGTTTTAGTCAGTTCATAAAAAGTTGGTTTTTGCAACAATTTTCATAGAAGCTCGCTTCTTCAAAACTTTCTATAGATAATTAAATAATTAGGTTTTCATTGAATCGCCAGGTTTTCAATAGTTTTACAACTCTTGTGAATCCCTCGAGGGTTAAATTTTTCCATGATTCTATCTTTTCTCAGAGAAAACATTTTAACAGATATTTATAATAACAAAGTTACCTTCATTTCAATATGAACAATGTAACAAATTATATTTTTTAAATAATTTTTATTTAAAAAGGATCAATATTAGTTTCCTTCTCTAGACAAGAAATAAAGAAATAAATACAGTTTGTTGTAAACGTAATTTTAGTAACTTATCAGTTTAAAGTGCCAGTAACAATTCACTACATGGTCACCATGCACCCCCCCCTCTCCCCAACCCTCCCCACCTCCTTAAACAGCTACGCCTAAGACCGAATTTAATTAATCTACGACGCTAAACTACCTATGATGCCGTTCAAACTTTAATCCACCGATTTAAAACTAAAGATTAAGGAAGGAGATTTGAATCAGTGATGCAAATTTGAACCGGCGCGGTGGTAGGCAGTTCAAATTTGAATCGGCGCGGCAATAGGCAGTTCAAATTTGAACCGGCGCGGTGGTAGGCAGTTCAAATTTGAACCAGCGCGGTGGTAGGCAGTTTAAATTTGAACCGGTGCGGCAATAGGCAGTTCAAATTTGAACCGGCGCGGTGGTAGGCAGTTCAAATTTGAACCGGCGCGGTGGTAGGCAGTTCAAATTTGAACTGGCGCGGCGGTAGGCAGTTCCAATTTATACAATTCAGTCATTGAAAACTGTATTGAATTCTTATAGTTTAAAATCCCACCATATTCAATATTAAATTCCATCAGTGTACGCCAGGACACTTATTCTCGTACTAACTATTTAAAACGCGCGTCAAGCTTACCGGGCACAAAGGGGTGCGCGTTTCATTGTGCTCATCTCAATCATAAAAAAATCAATTAAAAAAGTATTATTTCATTATTTAAGTCTTTCCTATTCCTGTCAAACATTGTATTTGTAAAATCAAAAAGCTAAAGTGATCCAAACAGTTGTATAAATTATCCATCAATAATCTAGACCGGGTCGACTTTGAAGCGTCGCAACATTTTTGCATCTGGATTAGTTTTACTAATACATTTATACTTTTCTGTACCCCTAGGACAATACAAAACACGTGTTTCAATCTTTAGGAATAAGCGGATCTTTTGCACAATGCACATACATGCACATCCACTGCCAATAATTTTTAACATTTAAAAATAAATACGTAATTTCCTTTCGATTTATTTTCTTTTTCTTTTTTTAGAATTGGGGGGGAAATTTTCTCACAACTTCCATTTCCGGGTTTTTAAATATTTCCTCTTTCAACACTTTATTTTGTATTAGTTTATTATATTTTATGAATAAATAATTGCATCTTACTAACATTTTGATATAAATTAACGTCCTGCAAAAGGTTTATTAGAATCCTGAATAATCGCCAAAAGCAAAGTTATTGCAGTAATTTCGACTGAGAAGTTCATTTTAGTTTAATCTTAGCTTTGAACATTTAAAAAGTGATATCCATGAGATATTATTTTTGTGGTAACCCTGTAAATTTTGCTTCTGTAGCATCCTGAAAATGATTTGAACAATTATCCACTTGTCCCGGTATATTTCTGTGCTCGAGCGTGAAATTAATAAATAACATAGATGTTGAATTTGTTTAAACTTGTAATAGGTTTAGAATCTATATTAAACAACAAGTTCACACATCAGAAGTTATATAATTACATCGGCAGATTACAGATTTAGAATACAGGGTTACCTGCACAAAGGATGAGACTTCAGAGACAAAAGTACAGAATTTAAAAGAAACTAAGAACACAAGTCCAAATTTAATCTTTATATCGTAATATTTCAAGAAACTCAAACATACTGAAAATTGACAACTGAATTTAAAAAGAATATTTAATTAATACATTTTCAGTATACATTTGGGCACAATCATTAAGTAAAGGAAACTGGAAAAAAAAACTATGTTTAATTCTCCAACATTTCGTGTCGCATTATCTTTATTGAACAATAAAAAAGTGACTTATTCGAGATACATTCAGTGTTGCTATTCGAAATACATTCAGTGTTGCTATTCGAGCTACAATCAGTGTTGTTATTCGAGATACATTCAGTGTTGTTATTCGAGATACATTCAGTGTTGTTATTCGAGCTACAGTCAGAGTTGCTATTCGAGATACATTCAGTGTTGCTATTCGAGATACATTCAGTGTTGCTATTCGAGATACATTCAGTGTTGCTATTCGAGATACATTCAGTGTTGTTATTCGAGATACATTCAGTGTTGCTATTCGAGCTACATTCAGTGTTGCTATTCGAGATACATTCAGTGTTGTTATTCGAGATACATTCAGTGTTGCTATTCGAGATATATTCAGTGTTGCTATTCGAGCTACATTCAGTGTTGCTATTCGAGATACATTCAGTGCTGTTATTCGAGATACATTCAAAGTTGTTAATCTTTTTGGATCACTTCCAGAAAAAAAAATACTAAAACTTCAAAGATTTTGAAAATGTTGGTGAAGAAGCCCAAGGTAGTTACGTGCGCATGCCACGTTGAATTACAAGACAGAGAGAAAGCCTGTTTTCGCCGCGGCGCTCGGTTCGCTAACCTATCCTAGCCACAGCACTCGGCCCAGAAAGTGTCTTAACCAACCCTCACCCTAAAATATATTCTAATATTTCTCTTTCTTGTAATTCAACGCGGCAAGCGCACGTAACTTCCTTAATGTTTGAATTTATTAAACTTAGCACTATCTTTAACCTAAAACAATTTAGAATATATTTGCTTTTCTTACACTATTATAGATTTTGACCCTAAAAGAAAATATAAAACAACGAACCAGCTTATGGTATGTATGGTTGTTAAACAAGAGAATGTATGTATTGTGGAGAATTTTTTTAAGATTTATTTGAGACATATAACACGTTATAATGATGTATAATTTCTGAGTTTGAGCGCAATGTCGACTTTCAAAATCATCAATTTGGGTGATAACGTTTCCGGTTTCGAGAATATTTTTTTATTATTAAATAACGGCGACAAAAAATGTAAAAAATATCTACAGTAAAATAATTATAGGTTTAGAAACATATTTCTTAATTAAAATTTTAGAATTAATCATTTCTTTTTCATCATTATATTGAATTTCTTATCTTTATGAATTTGTTCGCAGATTTCTTCAAATTCTTCAAATGTCGTCTTTTCAATAAAAATTCCAGGAAATCTACAGAAAATGTTTGTGAACAATGATACATTACAGAAACCAATAATTGAATGAAATTACTTATTTTTGATGATAATAGTTAGTTTTTATTTTCTGAACCTGTTCTTAAACAGTTTACTGTAGAATTTTCCGTCGTAGTTATTGAATAATTTTTTAAAACCCGATTCTGAAAATTATTCCTCAAAAATGAACCAACTAGGAGGATTTTAAACATTTAAAGTTGCGCTTTTAAACATTTGTCGTGGCATACAATTAACTGAACTTCACTAACTTTTCAGTCTCTAAAGCTATGAAAGTTGGATTTAAACTTGATCTTCTATTCTATTATTTATTCATATGCAGCATAACCAGAAAACTCTACCATAGAAAGACGACATTTAAGCTCAAGAAGATCCATTTAACTAAAAACTGAATAAGTGATTTTATAAGTATACTAACATCATTGTTTTTGCATCAAATACACCTTTACAAAGTTACCTTTTTGTAGCATAGTTTTCTGGTTTTTACTGTAGCAAAACCTCTTTTTTGATTAAACCAACCTTACAATTTTAACCAAGAAAAGTTTCAATTTTAATGGCCATCCAATGTGAACAAATGAAAAATGTATTATATTAAATTGTTAATTAGTAGCTTAACCACTAGAAACTTTCATTTGAAAACTATCGAAACAAGTGATCCTCGGCCTCGATTATTTTAAAATCTAAAGATATTTTCATTCTTGTATCTTTTCTTGTAAGTCACAGTTCAAATTATTAATTTTGAGATGGAAAAGCAATTCTATAGCATATAATTACGCGCAATTCCGCGAATATTTAATTGCTTTCCTGTTCCTAACTATTGCGCAATTCCACGCAATGAAATGGCACAAGCGGAAGTAATCATTCTGCGCAACATAATTCCTATTGGAAACCCTATCTCCAAGCCTCTGTATTTGAAATGACCTTGGGCTACCCCATACCCTTAAGAATAGATATTTTAAAAGAAAACACTGTATAACTATTCAAAGATTAAATATTTTTATATTTTACACTTTTATTAATTCAATTCTAACGTTTAGGGGTGGCGCCAAACCATTTTAAATTCTCATTTGCGAAAACGGAGGCTTGGAGACCATTTTTCGGGGCTCATCCCTTACAGTATTCAAAGCGGAAAGTTTCGGATCTAAAGATAAATAAATATTTTTAAATATCGAAGTAGTTATTAACTGTTTAAGATGTACCTTTATTTCTCTTTAATTCAAAATTTTCACAAAAAAATAAAAACATAAAAATTTTACAATTATATTGAGGCATGTTGCAGAGATCAGTGTATTTTTTTATGTGAGAAAATGCAGTAATTTCAATTCCAGTGTATAATAATCCAGTTTATTTTACAAAACTATCAGTGGTTTATATTCATTAAAGTCCTCTCCCCCTTCCCTTGTAATCCCCTATTATAGAAATCATTTAATTTTATCATTTTATGACAAAACATTTAGTGACCTCCACAAACCATTGGAGAGGGAAAGAGAAGGAAGGATTTTAAAGAAGATGTCCTACTGAAAATATTGATTAAAATACTATTGTACTTGATCAGTTTAAAGGGATTGGATTGTAAAAACAACTAATTGTATTTAATTTAATGGGGAACCAAAACTTACAGACGAGCATAAAGATTTTAAAAACTAATCCTTGGACCTTAAAGGGCCTTTCAACAAAATTTTCCGGAACTCTTTACATTCAAAAATACCATACACGATTCTCAATCATACTTTTAACAACAAAACCTATTTTGGATTAAAGACTCGTGGATTTTTACGGCATTTCTATTTGGTTCCAAAAAAATGAAATTAATAGAAGCTTAACTTGTAAATCGTTAATGACTTTAACTAAATATGTTGATAATCCAAGGTCTAATTCTCGATTTCACTCTGAACATTAAGAGAACAGTATTTACAATGTTGGCTTGAAAGTGGCGCTTCATAAAATAAAACTCTTTTAACCCTATCACGATTGGGGAAGGGANTTCACAATTGAACCCTTTAAACATGAGAACTTCTTAACTTTGATTCACAATTGAACCCTTTAAACATGAGAACTTCTTAACTTTGATTCACAATTGAACCCTTTAAACATGAGAACTTCTTAACTTTGATTCACAACTGAACCCTTTAAACATGAGAACTTCTTAACTTTGATTCACAACTGAACCCTTTAACCATGAGAACTTCGTAACTTTTTGAACTTCATAGTTGTCAATAAATTTTGCTTAACATTTATTTATGGGTGCAGAGGGTAAGGTGTCGGTGTTTCAAAAAAAATCAGAAAATATTTTATTATTACATTTTTCAAGTAAAAATATTAATCTTTGTAAATTTTCCGACGCACATTTTGAAGTTTTTTTAATCTTTCTTGCTCCTTGCACGCTAACCATCTAAGATAGAGGTCTAATTTTTCATTAATGAGCAGGCCTCGACATTTTGGACTAGGAACATGTATCACACTCCCCTATATCAACACAGATAAAATCAAATGGGATTCGACCCCCCCCCCCCCTCCTTTCACTTGTCTATATTAGACAAAAATAGTCGGGATAGGGTTAAATTGGCAATTTTACGAATAGATTTTATTTTGGAATGTCTTTTGTGTCAGCTATAACCGGCTTATTGGGTCCGCCATTAATTCCTGGTTCTTTGCAATTGTCGAGTATTAGAAGAAAATTAACATTTAAATTCGGGGAAGACGAGAATACAAAGAGAATATTTTAAATTAAATTGAAATTGAATGAATGTAACATTTCAAATTAAGCTCGCATTAGGCAGCCACAATATATAAAATAGAGTGGTCCCTAATAAGTCTAGAACAATATATAGAGTGGTCACCGATCAGTCTCACTGATCAGTCTAGAACAATATATGAAATACGAGTGATCACTGATCAGTCTAGAACAATATAGGAAATAGAGTGGTCACCGATCAGTCCAGAACAATATGTTTAAAGGCATCCGTAAATAAAGTAAATATAAAAAGGGGCATTTATTTTCCAGAATTTTCAAGTGATTTTTGGAATAAGTATGAATTTTGTTTTTAAATTTTCGCGAAAACTCTCAAATTATCTTCGGATACAAAAGTAGAAAATATACACCCCTGTCCTAATTATTGATAAAAACTAAAAATATTGAAAACAGTACTTTATGATTTGGTTTGGCCAGCTGGAAGGTTTATATCGAAGACAATCGGAGGATTGCAAGGAATATAGTTGATATCACATGTGGAGGCATTCACGTACACGACCTGGCCGTCAGATCGAATCCCATATCCTGTAAAATGTACATAATTACAAAAAATCATGTTTGAAATTCTTTTTTCACATTCAAGGATGTTTGGCTTTCAGAAGACCCAGTAAAAAGTAATTGAGTTTTTGCCGCAAACTCCAATATTCTAATCCCTATAGCTTTGCTCCTTTCATATTTCAAACTTGGACTTTTTAATCTAACAAATTTATAGTTTAAAAAGTTAAAGGTCTACAAAATCAGGTTGCAAAGATTTAGGGATTAGAAAATCAGAGTTTGTGACCAGAACTCAATTCCTTTGCAAGATCTCAAAAATTCAAAATATCATTTTCTAAAAGTGCATTTTACATTGTGCAAAGATTTTGACCGAAAATATGTCTGAACAAACAGAAATAACAGTTCGTTAACTAACGATTTGAAAATATGTCTGAACAAACAGAAACAACAGTTCGTCAACTAACGATTTGAAAAGTCGTTTTAGTAAAAGTACATTTTGCAGATAATTCTATCTAAATGTTAAATGAGCTTNATCCCCCCCCCCCTGTGTTCCCACACAAAGTATATTTGCGCAGAGCGGAAAATATTTTGTATGACTTTATACGCTGAATTGGGAAAAACGCTTTTTTTTAATGGAAAAATTAGTATTTTTTTGGGGAAGAAAAAAATTAACAACGATTATTTTGCAGATAATTCTATCTAAATGTTAAATGAGCTTCTGAAAAGTATTAACAACTATTCTATCTAAATGTTAAATGAGCTTCTGAAAAGTATTAACAACTATTCTATCTAAATGTTAAATGAGCTTCTGAAAAGTATTAACAACTATTTCCCAAAACTAAAATTATGAAGGATTTATCACAGCAACGTTTAACCATTTTCTAACAAAATAAAATGAAAATATCATTGATTTTCTGTATGAAAATTTATCATTTCGACTATGGTTTCTCAATAAAAGTGATGTATGCTTCAAAAAAAATTGAAAAAATTGTTAACATTTAAGAAATTCCGACAATTTTTTAAACCTTGTTACATAAAAAGGGTAAAAATCTAGCATGTAACTCTCATAGCATAAAAGTTATTTAAAATTATACATAGTTACCTTCATGTATGTGCCCGTATACATGATATTTAGGTTTAACCCTAAGTTGAACCGTGTTTAACAAATCTACACAACCAGCTCGTATACCCGTACTGCACAGGTCTCCGAACCCAACTGGAGGAGAGTGTGTTATCTAAAACGCAAAAAATTATGCTAATTCTTTTAACAGGAAAAAAAAATAGTAACAAGGCTTCCAAAGGCGTTTCGGCCCCAGCTTCGATTTGAACTTTTAATTGCTGCTCTTTCATCAATTTTCGTGAATTTTGAAAAATCGATATTCTTTTAGGGCAAATTTGTTCTATTCTAACCATTTATAAAGCTTTCCTGGAATCATGTGAGGACCGACAAAAAAATTTAGACCCAATCGGCTCAAGTGTTTTGTCAAGGGAAAAACAGGGGTCATCATTTTTTTTAAAACCCCCCCCCCTTGCTATCAAAATGTTCTCCAATATTAAACCTAGATTAAAGGTGAAATTAAGTAATCTTTTTACAGAGAAACTTATTCTAGACATTGTGGACTAGACAGAAGGAGAGGGTGAAATTCATGCGACAAGACTGGTACAACTTTGTAACCTCGCAGCTCATCTAGATTTGATTTTACGCACAATTATGAGAAAAGCAAATTTATTTGGTTACATATTAGAAATTCAAAACATTTTTCTTCTTCTTGATGGCTTTTCAATGAGACATGGAAACATATAACATTTCAATTTTACGTACAATTCACTTAAGTTTGACGTGATTATAAGGTTGAAAAAGAAACCAAATCTTGTTTAATTACTTGATATTTGATAAAACGATGTAGGAAACAAATTCTGATAAATTCAATGAAAGATGTTTTGAGTTTAACTAGATGTGTAAATTTTTCAGAATCCCCCTTTTTGAGAAAATAAACACCCCTGAATCGGCTTAAAGAAAATAGGATTAATTTCATCCTAAAGTAGTTTAACACCAATAAATTTTAAAAGTTTTAATCTGAATGATTAACTACGTACCAAGATATCTGTGTTTTCAGGGATCTGATTCCATTTCTGTAAACATTGTTCTCCACGTACTAAGTTAAAGGCCCAGTTCCCAAACTCAGGCTGCCAGGGCGTACCTAACAGAGATAACAATAATGTTTAGGATCCATTTCATTCTGATGCGAATCCGGATAATGAATCCGGATAATGAATCTGGATAATGAATCCGGATAATGAATCCGGATAATGAATCTGGATAATGAATCCGGGTAATGAATCCGGATGATGAATCCGGATAATGAATCCGGATAATGAATCCGGATAATGAATCTGGATAATGAATCTGGATAATGAATTCGGATAATGAATCTGGATAATGAATCCGAGTTTCAAAAATGGACCGAGTTCTTATTAATAATATAGCCCCAGTTTGATAGAAAAATTTGAATCTTTTTTCGTGGTTCCATTTTTCTTAGTCTTTTCTTTACAATAAAATAGAAAAATATCCCAATATTTTTTCCAAAGATTATGATTGAGTAAGCAATAAGTAGATTTAACTCTGATTTGCAAATATTTTTCAAGGCAGCAAACATTTTTATAATGTCATACCCTTAAATAAATTAAATGTTTTTTCAAGGACAATATATGTAAAAAGCTTGCATGTAGGGTTCATTCTTTCTTTCTTCCCTGATATCTGATTCATGTTTACCACCCTAGGCTAGGGGGTGGGGTTATTTTTTTAATTTTTACCCCCTAAAGTGATAAAGCGACCACAAAAAAAAATACAAAATAAGAAAAAATCTCTCAAACCCCCATTCAATCAATCTTGTTTTTCGTAATTTATTCTGAAGAATAAATAAAAATCATGGTTGAAATCTTTTTTTCAATTTTTATACAAATCTTATGGAGATTTTTCAACTTCTAAAACAAAATATAAAATTTTGATTAACATAAAAATCAAACTTCTTCAGGTTTTAATAATAACTGTAAAAATCTATTTGGTTTTATTACACTTATTTTTAAGCTCAGAAACCAAATCTGATTAATGTTTGTTGTGATGTTTTAAGTTGTAAATCCGCAAAATTCGCTATCAATTGGATTGCATTCCAGGGATTACAATTTAACATTGCGACCCTGGTTGCAAATTGCAATGTAAATATCAAATTTTGTTCAAAAGTTGTAAAAATTACACCTCTCTTTCATTCACATGGGGGAACAAGGATGCAATAAATAAAGGAGGGAATATTACTTTATATAGGATGGGAAACTTACACTGTAATATTCACTCTTATATTAATTGCAATCCTATTGTCTTCCATGCATGTAATGAAGAAATTAATAGTTTTTGAATGCATTTATGATTTCTTAAAAATGAAATCCTACAATACGATTTATGAAACTTGGTGCGAAGGAATTGAAAAACTATAGCCGAAGATAAATGAGTGACAAATCTTTTTGATTGATTCACTCAAGGTTGTATATTTTCAAGAAAAATCCCCCCCCCCCTGTGTTCCCACACAAAGTATATTTGCGCAGAGCGGAAAATATTTTGTATGACTTTATACGCTGAATTGGGAAAAACGCTTTTTTTTAATGGAAAAATTAGTATTTTTTTGGGGAAATAGTAATGAAATTGATAAAATAAACTTGCTTTTTCATTCATCTCCCTAGATATTTAAAAAATTCTAAAAAATTCTAAACCTCTGGAGTAGGTTTAAAAATTCTAAAAAAATATAAACCTCTGGATTAACTTTGAAAATTCTAAAAAAATACATAAACCTCTGGATTAACTTTAAAAATTCTAAAAAAAAATATAAACCTCTGGATTAACTTTGAAAATTCTAAAAAAAAAATATAGACCTCTGAGCTGAAAACTTTAGAATGGTGGATATCAGGATTAATGCTTGATCCTCTCTTTTTGATAATCTCAAGATTAACATAATCTTGCAAGATTATCTTAAAAGTGTATGAAAAACGATAAAATTCATATTAATATTTAATCATCTGAGAAACTGTAGCAGCCAATCAGAGAAAAGCGGGCAACCAATGAGAGAACAGAAATATTCTCATTGGAGAAAACAATTAACGGATATCCAAGGAGAGAGAAAAAGAGTGGATTAGAACAAAAATGAAAAGTTTCCACAGTGGATATTCGGATCAAGAAGTCAGGATTAAAGTTTATCCATTCTAAAGTTCCCAGCTCTGGATTAACTTTAAAAATTCTAAAAAAATATATAAACCTCTGGATTAACTTTGAAAATTCTAAAAAAAAAATATAAACCTCTGGATTAATTATAAAAATTGTTCTCACCGTAGATATTAAGTCCGTAGAGTACGATGCCGCTATCCTCTAGATATGTACACTCCGTCAATTCTTTCTGCATCTCTGTTGCTGTACTGTTAACAGGTTCCTAGATAAACATAACAAAATTATGATATAAATCAAAGGGAGTGTTATAAGAATGTATGACAGAGAGTTGTTTAACTTTAACTCTACATTCTAGCTTCGGAACCCGGCGCTGCCACGGTTACTGAAAGTTACTTCAGCCGTTTACCCGCACTTGGACAGTTTTACCGGGAAACTAAATGTTCGCTGTTTAAGTCGACACACTCAACTTAGAATCTCAAAACTAAGAGTATTCCCGTGGGTCTCCCGTGTTCCACGATCAAAATCGGTCCAGGGGTTCCTGAGTTATGATAAGACAAACAAAGAAACAGATAGACAAACAGAGAGTGCAACTTTATATATAGATATACTTTGCCTGTCTGCTGGTTTGTTTGTTTGTATACAAAAAAAAACGTCAAAATGACTGATCAAATCGGGCCCAAATCGGAGAAAAAAAATTCTTTTTAAGCATGCAAAAATTAAGAGATAGACAGCTTAAAATTATTCTTTAAAAAATTCCTCGAGACTTATTTAGAAGATTGGCAGCCTTAACTTAGAATCAAGATACTAGAAAGTTAAACTTAAACTTGAAAATCATGAAAGAAGTCAAGAAATCATGGAATCATTGAATCAAGAATTCAAGATAAAAATTCAAGAAATCAAGGAATCAAGAAAAAAAATATCAAGGAATCAAGAAATCAAGGAATCAAGGAATCAAGAGATCAAGAAATCTAAAAATCAAGAAGTCAAGAAATCAAGAAAATCAAGAAATCAAAATATCAAAATATCAAGAAATCATGAGATCAAACAAGCAAGAAAGCAAGAAATTAAGAAATCAAAAAATCAAGGAATCATGGAATCATGGAATAAACCAATCAAGAAAATGTAAAAAAAAATGGAGCTTTTAAAAAATGTGGAGAAGTAAAAAAATTAAAAATTAAAAATAAATATCAACTGACCGACCTTATCTTCTGCCGAAGCTGAGGTGGGGGTATACAACATTTTCTGTGATATATGTAGCGGAGAGTTTCCAAGATGTTCGGATCTACAGTTTGTGGTTTCCATATTCAACCCTGCAATAATTTATCTAGTCAGGCATTTTGTTTACTTACAATTAGCAATAGCTGACAGATATGTTTAAACATTTCTTATAGTAAAAATCTAGCTCATTAATAAATAAAACTAGTTATGCTTGATATGGTGTATTTTTTTTTTAAATCTATGTTTATCCAACCTACATTGTATATAAAAATTACAGATATAAAATATGTTTATTATTTAAATATCTAAAATCAATCTTACCAAGTAAATGTTAATATAAGCTCTGAAAAGGTGAGTTAAAAAAACATTTAAAAACTCGAAACAAATCAAAATAAATCTAAAAAGAGAAAATCTAATCTAATAAGAGCAATTCTGACCTAAACCCTTTTCCATGTTCCATGCAAAGCTGAAAAAGTATGAGAATATGTTGCAATCTAAATCCAAATCTAGAACTGACTAGAAAAAGTATGAGAATATGTTGCAATCTAAATCCAAATCTAGAACTGNTTTATGTGAGGAGAGAAAGAATATACAGGCGACAGGCTCTGGTTTAGATTTCAATAACTTTATTTACCTTGAAATGAATTGTCAAAGCTTAGCTCGTGATTCCCGGCGATAACAATCTTGTGTTTATGTGGCAGCTAAAAATATACATTTATTTATTTATAGCAAACTGTTAGAGGGACTGAAGGCAAACTTTCAAGTTTCCTTTCATTTGTAGAGTGGCATACCCGATTCACAACGGTCCCTTTTATTCCTTTTGTCTTTCATCCAGAAAAAATAAGAATATCTCCGTATTCGATGATCAAACACAGGTTTAAAGGTTACATTGTGAATTTGTCATGTCATTTTTAAAAATAGAGGGTCCCTTTAATTTTGTTTATTTATTTTAAAAGAAAATTACATTTTCTCGTCAAATAATCTTTGGAGCTCAAAACTAATTCATAATTTTGCATTTAAACCTCAAGTAAGAAAATAATACATCGATGATAGCTGCTTAATATACCACCAGTTACCTTAGATATCCAGGCGTTGAAATCCCTGACCTCAGAAACTGAGCCACAGCGTGTGAAATCCCCAGCATGGATAAACACATCTCCATCCGGTATACTCTACGCTAACCCAACACTTGGATGGGGAAATTCAAAATTGGGGAATATGTGGGCAAAACAGTCTCAAACATTAACTATTTAATTCTTCTCGGATATTGAATTTTTTATTTCAAACCAAACCTACTGGCAAATCTATATACTGACAGGGATAAGTGGCCGAATTTTATGAATTTGAACCACGTTTAGACGCGGTTCAAACATAGCTTGTTCCACTTGAAATTTTAATCAGTGTTTCGAGATTTGAGCCGGCGCTCATTTGGAACAGGTTTAATGGCGGTTCAGGGATGCGGTTCAAATTCTTTAAATTCGACCTCAGATTTGATGATTAGCAATGCGCTGTTGAACCGCGTAGATGTGGTTCAACCACTTCAGCTCAGCTTGAACGTCACATAAGATAACTGGTTGAACAACTACTTATCGCTATCCATTAAATCTAGTCTCTGGATACAATTTTAGAGGTTTTAGCCACTAAGGGGGAAAACAAGCTTAATCTATTTAACAGATCTAATTGATACTTGAAATTGCAAGCTATAAGTATAAATTAGAATTTTAGAGGTTTTAGCCACTAAGGGGGGAAACAAGCTTAATCTATTTGCACAGATCTAATTGATACTTGAAATTGCAAGCTTTAAGTATAAATTAGAATTATATCCGAGATAAATTAATACTTTAGAAAAGTAGGGGAAACCTGAACAAAAATGTCTAAAGTGTATCTTTAAAAAAAATGAGGCAGCTTTCCTGTTTAATATGTGACGTCAGAGAGTGAGTATCCGACATACAAACAAATCTAACCTGAATAATCTGTATTATTTGCAGTAAGCATTAATGAAACAAAGTCAATATCTATCAATACATTTTAAATTCTATGATCTGTCATATTATCAACCACCTCAAGTCAGAGGTTCATTTAATTACATTTCTCATCCCAAATGGGATTGGGGTTGAAAGTAATTTCTGTGTCATTGTGAACTTTGGCAAGTTTTTTGCGTATTAGTACTACACTTTAGAAATTGTACTACATTTGGAGCGTTAAAAGATGTCAATATCAGTAATCAAAATAAGAGATAAATATTATGATATTCAGAAAAATAAACACTTCTTTGCAGTATAATACATTTTTCCTACAACTTGACATCCTACTTCCAATTGTTAACAACAACAATATGGATAATTTCTGCCCCTAATATCAATTAATTAACATTTGGGATCGTATTAGATGAAGTGCCTGGCGTTGCCCGTAAAATTTCAAAATTTGTCAAACAATCGACAAAAACATCCCCCTTCGATGAAACAGTTATTCTAAGGGATATGCCACATATTTTAAGTTACAAAAGGTGGAAAATGTAACATTTTTTATTTTGGTAAATCTTTATAAATATTACGGTTTGGCCGGCTACAGTAAACATACAGATATTACACTTAAACAATTTCGACGCTCATACAAGATGTTCCCAATAGTTCCTAGTGTTAATTGGTTTTTAAGTCTGTATGATACTAACTTTGGAACCCATCGTTGCCAAGGGTCATTTCTGTTTACCCGCACAATTTTACCCGGTAAACTTAATTTTTGCTATAAAAATCGACTTACTTAACCTTTGTTATTAATCTTCGTGACAGAAACAATCTCAAGAACTGACGAGAGTCAACCCAGACCGAAATATATTTTCAATAAATGTGGAACTACCATCTACTTTTTTCACTCTACAAAGGTTTGGTCCATCACCATCACAGAATTTTAAATTTACTTAACCTAGAATCTTAAAACCAGACTAAAAACATTTCCGTGGTCCTACCGAGTTTTCCAATTTAAGCAAATTGGTCCAGGGGTTCCTGAGTTATGATCAGGCAAACAAACAGACGAACAGAGATTACAACTTTATAAATATAAAGACTACCTGAAGTGCCCGGCGTTACCCGTAAAATTAAATATAAAAAATTAAATATAAAAAATTTTGAACAAAAATTTCCATCTTGAAAAAAACAAATCGAATTTTTTAAGTCCATGTTACTCCCGGGCTAGTCATGGGGTTCTTAAAAAAATGTCAGCCTTTTGGCCAGCTATAGCTAACATATAAATAAATATTTAATATATATGTGAGCAAAAAGCTTTATTATATAGAATAGATAGATGAAACCCACCAAATTTGTTCTAACAAGCTAATACTCGCCTTATTTTCGGCAACAGGAGTAGATGGAGACTTCACATTTAGTCTCATAACATTTGCAGTTTTCTTCCACGCCCTGTAATAAAAGTGTTGATAATAATAAAAGAGTTCATTTTGGATGTTTAACATGGTCCATATTTTTCAGAACCCCCCCCCCCCCCCCTTGGGGGGAGAAATGATTTTTGATGATTCGGAGGGGGGGGGATGAAAAATGGGACATCATAAGGCAATATTATTTATTCTTTTTGATACTTTATATCCAAAATTTCTTTATTTTACGTTGCGTAACAATCATTTATTTTCTTCAAATTCAGCAAAAAATCCTAGAGAAAATCCGCCGCTTAACGCATACATACAATACATCTGGCGAAAAAAAACATTTTCATAAACGGGGGAGATTTGATTTTTCGAGAAAATACACACCCCTGATGTTTAGTTGAGTAATTTCCTAGAGATATAAAGTTGGCCCTAAAAAACAGGGATTAGCGTTTTTTCAGGACTTTTTATCATTTAAAATTACTAGAAAAGGTGCTCTAGTATATAATATTTAATTTTAGTTTGTTTCGATTGACGTTTTCGTTTGACGTAAATCTTTGTCTCGAACGTTTGAAAACCTCTCTGCATGCAGTTTACTTTCAACAATTAATAATTATCATTATTCTACTAAAATCTATATTTGAGAGAGAAAAAACCATATGTTTTGAGAAATTATAAATGCATGATAAAATTACTATTGTTTATATTTTAAATAAAATTTTCTTAAGAGTCCCTAACTTGATGCCATGCAAAAAATCGCTTATTTCTGCAGTTTGCAACTATTTGGCCGAGATTGCTGCAACCTCTCTTTATAGTTTGTTTTACAAAGAGTTCTGGGTTTAGGACGATGTATACACATTGGATACATGTAAATGATTTTGTTTGTTTTTTGAACAATATTGGTAAAATTATACACCTATGAACATTTTCGAGTCATTTTAAATGATAAAAAGCCGAAAAACGCTATTCCTTGTTTTTTGGGTCATATTCTACGTTTTTCGTCGACATTTGCAGAGTAAATACTAATATAAAAACCAGCTTGCAAATAAAATCAGCAATGATTACACACATTTCTGTATAAGTAGGCAAATATAAGGATAAGCCCCTCATCATTGATCAGTTTTAAAGGTTTAAAGGGTACTGAATCATCCACGCAACTCTACAAATGGAGGGTTACTTAATTTACATTTTTTAGATGTAATTATTCTTAAACCTCCCTAGCACATTGACTATAAAAGATAGAGGCATATTCTTTATGTCTATATTTTTAATATTTCTAAAATAATTCATTTTTCACTTTTAATCGTAAAATCTGTTTAAGTGTTTTTATTACTTACATTTTTCATCCATTATCATTGACACTGCACATTACATTTTCCTTTTTATTATTCCCTTTATGTTTGATTGAACATGGCCCTGAAGTGCTATAGAAGTATAATAATGGTCTTTTTTCTCATTGTTATAAACATATTGGGAGCATATTCAATTTATACACTAATGGGGAGTTAGTTGTAATCCTGAACCTTAAGTTCATATTTTCTGTTCAGTTTATATATACCATGAGTAAAGCAGGGAATATATATCATCAAATTTCCAGTTAAAGGGACCGTAAGCGTAATTTCAAGTGACCTTTTATTAAGAAAGGTCTATGACCAATTCACTACGGTACCCTTTCTAATCTGATCAAGAAGACTGTGTAATATATATAATATATCCATTGATTCTGATATTATATATAATATCTCCATTGATTCTGATAATATATATAATAGCTTCATTGATTCTGATAATATATATAATATCTCTATTGATTCTGATATTATATATATAATATCTCCATTGATTCTAATAATATATATATTATCTCCATTGATTCTGATAATATATATAATATCTTCATTGATTCTGATAATATATATAATATCTCTATTGATTCTGATATTATATATATAATATCTCCATTGATTCTGATAATATATATATAATATCTCCAGTTATTTTGATAATATATATATAATATCTCCATTGATTCTGATAATATATATAATATCTCCATTGATTCTGATAATATATATATAATATCTCCATTGATTCTGATATTATATATAATATCTCCATTGATTCTGATGATATACATTATATCTCCATTGATTCTGAAGCAAGAAATTCGTACAAGTCACTTTTGAACCACTTTTGAACCGAAACCAGAAACGAACATAACCAGTTTTCAAAAACAAAGCATTGACAATAGATATCCAATTCATACTTGATCAGAAAAATCGTTTGAAGGTACCATTATGAATTGGACATTCCACTCTAACAATGGAGGGTTACTTAGTTACATTAACAGTTCTTTTAAGGTTTCGGGAAAAATCGATTAAAATAAATTCTAAAAAGATGTCAGATAATCTCACTAGACTTTACACTCAGAGGTAAGCCAGACTTTGTCTTTCTCGATAGTACTGAGTTTTTCGCAAAAAAATCTTTTTTTTAATTACTCTTTAAAAATATTTCTAAAAATTCAAGAGTGCATTTATTTCACGATGATATGCTGTGGCATAAAAACGTGTGTTTATAGTTTTATTCTGACTTTTTAATCAAACACAAATGTAAAATTATTTAATGAATTTTTCATTGACAATTTGTTGTGGTGGAAAAAGGGCAATAATATATAGGGATGTTTACGTTTTTATTTTTTGAAAAACGATCGCTTTTTTCGTTTTCCTATCGTTTTTTGTTTCGTTTTCCGATCGTTTTAAAAACTATCATTTGTTTAAAGTTTTTAAAATGATTATTTTTTAAATGATCGGAAAACGAAAAAAAAGATCGTTTAATGATCGTTTTCAAAAACGATTAACAACCCTAATAATATATTAACATTTCTTTGGATAACATCATCTTCGTCAGACGTCAAATTCAAGTAAATTACACTGTACATGTAATTGAAATCTTATATATTTAGTAAAACAAAATTGTTTTTTAAAACAAATAGTAATATGTTACCAAATAAAGGAATTGAGTCTTTGGAACAAAATCAAATATTTAAACCTCAATATCTTTAGAACCCGATGTTGTAAACCTTTGATATTTCATACTCAGATTATTTGATCTAACAGAATTCATAGTTTAAAATATCTAAGGTCTGCAACATTGATTATAAAATCAGAATTTGTGACAAAGACTTAATTCCTTTGCTTCTCTCATAAGTAATACTTGTGCGAAAAAAAAACTAGAAGAGCTATGAGGTCACAAAGTCCTATCGGTGATGTGGCTTAAACTGTACCTTCTCCTTCTGTCTAGTATATGCAGTGTTCAATCTGGAATTGCAGATTCAATTTGCATTAAAAATGTATACATGCAGTGAAAGGATTAGATATTTTCCCACTGTAAGAAGAACCGATTGAAAATAGTCATACAATCCATTTTAAATCTAAAAATTGTCTCCTTGATGGATTTCTTAACAGATTTAAAAACTTCGGCTCGAGTCATAATTAATTCCTTAAACTCTACTTTAAGACGCAACACTGACGACAGCTTATGCCATGTGATTGACAGCTGCAACTTGCAAGATCTTCAGCTCGACTTAAGAAGTTAGGCCCAATGAAAATAAAACCGACCTTGGTTAGTTTTAGTGCAGAACAAGGCTCAATGTTGAGCCTTGTTCTCATAAAACCCAGAATGCGCCAATTCCTAACATGAAAATCCTCCAAATAGAATATTAAACCGGTTCTTTGAACTCAACTCTGTGGACGATAAGATGCAGCTTGAATCCGAAAGCTCAAGCCATGAATAAGGCCCAACAACAGCTTAGACCCGAGACGTATTTTCCCGAATTTTTTTAATCGAGGGCTCTGACCTGTTTTTTGAATCATTTTAAGGATAATTTATTGTTTTTATAGAAAACCAATGATTGATATGGTTTATCAAAACACATGGAATGAAATAGAAGAAAAAACAAGGACCAGAACTAATGGTAAAATTATCAATTAATCTTATTTTAAATCACCCTACTGTTACGAGTTTACAGACACCACAATTGAAAATCATTTTATTAAAGATAGAAAAACAATAATATCTATATTTATTGGGTCAGAAGAAGGTTTTCAGTATTGTGAATAAAACATAAAAATCTCTGTGAGACGCAAAAAAAAGAAAGATTTGCACTTGATCTTTTTTTTTTGTTTTTCTAGGAAAAAATTCAGTATAATTTTTGATGAAGATTATATATCCATTTATAAACAAAATTTTATTATTTTCATAAACATTTTTTAGATAAACGAAAGTTATAATTTGTAAAGTTTTAATTGAAAAAGAAGATATAAAGATTAAAAAATTTAAGTTTGTGTCAAGTTCCTTTGTAATGTTGTGTTTTTATCACAGGAGGAGTAAAGGAGAGTCGTCCAGTACAATCCATGTTTGTGGACAGGAATAGGAATATTTGTATTAACAATATTCAAGATATTAAACTTCAAAACGGACAAAAGTACGTATACATATATTTAAAGGTGCTGTTGTTGTAATTTAATGTAAATAGGACTATTCTCAATTCACAACGGAACCCTTTAATCGTGAAAGGAGTTTAGTTTTCTATGAGTTATGATCGTACATCACAGAGACAAACACACAAACTTAATTATGTAAATTAAATATTTTAGAAACCGAATAGCTAATCTATAGTTACCTCCATCAAATGCGATGTATATTATGTTTATACCATTTTAACCTTTGTCTGGTCAACAATGAATGAGATATCCTTGGTTTTCTGACTCTATCTTGATTATTTACATTTGTGGGTTCATGCAATAAAATAAGTAGGAAATACACTTCAAGATAGAAATACCACGACAGCTTTCACATTGTTGTTAAGATAATAGTTTAGAGTGTATTTAAATCGCGGAAATATAATTATAGTTTCCATTGCGCTATATACATACTTAAATACTCAATACTTAACTTTTTCGAGATGGGGTGGGGGTGTTTCCATCCCCCCTGTGGTTTTTCCTAAATAACTTAAAAATGGCTGACATTCTTCACTTTTTCAACTTAATAGTTCTGAACAAATTTTTCGGATTTTTTTTATTCATAGGGTAGGGTTGAGGACGGTCAAGCAGGGAAACCCCCCCCCCCCCATTTTATATTGACAAAAATAGCCCAATCAGTAAAGAGTATATGACTCGGTAAATTATGAAATTTTTAAAAAGTTTCAATGGATTTTCTTTCTGGACATTTGCCAATAAAAATATGTATATAACATGAAAAAAAACTATTTTAAACGCACTACGCATTGCAGGGCCTTTTCAAGTTTTATCAGCGATCCTATCCTAAAGTTTAAAGAGATATTGAGCATCAATTTAGAGAAGTGCTTTTTTTGAAATTGGAAAAGTTACCGCGCGCATCTTTTTTTAAAAGATGGTCATCCATATGGACACCTTAATATTGGTATAGACCATAAACCTTACAATCTTTCTCCGTAAAAGGTCGTCTTAAATCAAATTATTCTCCGGAACCAAACCCACCTTTTCTCCGGTAAACAGAGCTCAGCATGGGATTATCAACCTTAGACCAACCTCGAGGCCCCTTTTGAGCTCAAAAAATATACATCTACCATAAGTGTATTAATGCTCTGACAACGTTAATTTTAAAGAATTGATGAGTTAGACTGGACAAGGAGAAACAAAAAATCATATCAGACAGCTTTACTTTATCAGGTAATAACAAAGGAGTTCAACCTTGACTTTTATGGGGAGGGGGTATTTCGCTCTATACCAATGGACATCTCATTTTCCATGCAGCTAAAACTAAGGAACTTAACACCATACAAAACTGTCTGCTGTATTTAACCCATTTAATCCCTCATACTTACACATTTGGTCTATCCATAGCCGTTTCTAGAATTGTTAGTATTTGGTTGTTTTTACAGTTATTCTCAAATTTTGTGTCTTCTGTTTATAGAAATCTAAATAAATCTACAGAACTGAAAGCTTTAGAATAGTGTATATAGAGATTACTACTTGAATCTTTTTGTTTGCTAATCTAAAGACTAATTGAGTTCATTAAGAATGGGACCGAGTTTGATTTCATCGTCTTCTCTAACTAGTTTTTCTTTCGGTTGCATACGCGTAAATATACTAATTAGAAAAATGGTCGTAACAACGAGGTCAAAATCGCTTCCGGGGAGGTGTGTGTAGTAATGGTTGATTAATATTATGTTTTGGTCTAAATCCATATTGATGTTGATAGAAAATCTTAAACTTGTTAAGATATTTAAAAATTTGTGTTGCAGCTATTTTTTCAAGAAGTTTACTTAGCGCTGGGAGAATACTAATTGGTCTGTAGTTATTAAATTTATCTTTTTCGTCAGTTTTAAAAATAGGAATTATTTTTGCACATTTGTAATCACTAGGGATATATCCTGTTTTAAAAGAAAGGTTAAACAAATGAGCTATAGGAAAAAAAATACTATCAACTATTTCCTTCAGTAGCTTGGTAGAAATATTGTCCTTACCTGAAATGTTTTTAGGTTTAAGTTTACTCACTGTTTCAAGAATAATTTCTGGTGTAATATTTGCAAACACAAAGTTTTCCTTGGATGGCTCCTTTAGATATGTTTCAAAATTGTTATTGGAATCCGGAATATAACTAGACAATCTCAGTGTCTCAATGTTTATTAAGAATAACGTTCGAAAGGAATCTAGTCCTCAAACGTAATAAATATGCTTTTATTAAGTTCATATAGTTGTATCCACAGTGGATATTCAGATTAAGCGATCAGGATTAAGTGTATCCAATTCTTAAGTTTTCAGCTCAAATCACTTGAAGAGATAAATAAGTAAAATCTAAAATATCCATTTTAGGCAGAAAAACAAGGAAAACTGATCGGAGAGTATATTTTCCATCTTTATCTGATAAAATATTTAAGAGACATTTTTGGTTTTCTGTTTCAAGAATAATAAACACTTTTTCTACATTATGTTGGAATTAATTCCATAAAGATCCAAGATTGCATTATTTTTGTTTATTAAAGGGAAAAAAGTTCCGGCAAAAGGCTCAATTCAATTCTGCCAAAGAAATGCTAATTCAGAGTCTAAGGTAAATTAAAAAGTGAAAAAAAACTAAATCAAATTGAAAATAGTTGTTTTATTATCTATCAAGACAGGCAAAAATTATGAAAAATTGAATTGGATTCAGTTGTAAACTACAAGTTGTAAGATACAAAGCAAGAAGCTATATAAACCCCTCTGGTTTATGCACGTGGCTAAAGACTTTCACTAAAAAGTAAATATTTGGAAATTATCTTTTAAATCATGATCTGAGTTCGTTTCCCTTTCGTCTATTACAAAGTTTTGGTTCATCACCATCACAGAATTTTAAGACTTTCACTATGTTCAATGATGTTTAGGTTAAAAGGGGGTCTGGATATACAAACAAAGATAATGGTTGAACTGGCTCAATGCCATCTTAATCTTAGAGAGTGGACTCAAGCAATTCAGGTCTGATACGATGGTAGGCGATTATAATGAAGACGACTTTTGTTTTATATTAAGCTTTTAAACAGCATGGATACACAGAAACATAAAGACAATTAGATCCTGTCAATTAAAAAACTTCTCTTCATTTACTTGTAAATTTGTAATTCGAGAAAAGCTTGTTAAAAATTAAAACTTTAAAGAAAAGTCGTCTTCATTATATTGCTATAATCGCCTATAACCGTATAACACAGGGTGTATTGTTAAAAAAAAAACTTTTAGTTTCATCTATCGTCTTCTTTCCTTTTGTTTAAAAATGACAGCGAAAATAATGTTTAAAGATTTTTTTTGATAAAATGTATTGAAATCAAAATGAGATTTTTTTTATCGGTGGTACTTTTTAAACCACAAAAAAAACAGACCAAATTATGGAAATGGAAGAAGAAATGTCCCTCTGTACTTCTATAAGTAGTGTTTTGATAAGTGTAATACATTATCTAATTAGACCCAGTATGCAGTGTAAAAATAAAAACTGTCAGGTTTTTGAGAAAAAAAGCTTATTATTATTTTATGTTTGATGACATATAAAAACACTAGAACTAAGTCAGCATACATGGTCCAAAAGTGAAAAAAAAGTAATTATATATATTTTTAGATTGCCAATGATCTTCTGAGTGAAGGAGCTTGCAATAGAAATATTAGAAGACGATGTGTTCTGTCCATAGTTCTCAACACAAAGGAACAAAATCTTGAATATTACTAGATGTGTTCTATAGTTCTCAACACAAAGGAACAAAATCTTGAATATTACTAGATGTGTTCTATAGTTCTCAACACAAAGGAACAAAATCTTGAATATTACTAGATGTGTTCTATAGTTCTCAACACAAAGGAACAAAATCTTGAATATTACTAGATGTGTTCTATAGTTCTCAACACAAAGGAACAAAATCTTGAATATTACTAGATGTGTTCTATAGTTCTCAACACAAANCCATCTTGCAGTCCCCCCCCACTCCCCCTGTAAGGGGTATCTGTTTATCAATTTTAACAAGATTTGTGATGAAGGCAGAAGCATTGTTTCAATTAAAGGTAATATTTTAATAATTCTCACACAGATTTATTTTCTAATTAAAAAGGATGGTGAACGTCATTTCAATTAAACCTCCATTTAAAGAATGGTATGCATGATTCACAATTCACGTGTCTGAAAAAGTATCTCATTCTGGCAAAGCAACCAATACACAGCTTGGAAATTATACATAGCAGAGAACTAGGGTTTCCAGCGAACTAGGGAAAATATTTCACGAAAATTTCGCATTTTTTGCCAAAAATTCCGTTTTTTTCGCGTTCCGTTCGTAAAAAAGGTTACGAAATACGAAGAAAATGTTTTCCTGAAATGATGCAAATTTTCGCAAAATTTTTCTTTCGTTTGGAAAACTTGCGTATGACCTATATTACTGTGGAATAGGAAGACGACAAGCGTGTTCCAAGTTATTTCAGAGCAAAAAAGTTCCAATATTTCCTTATTAACATAAATAAGTCTGTGTCACTGCACAATTTCTGTGTTTCATGTTAATCATAACTTGAGTCAAACAGACGTCTTCTAATTCCACATTTTTATGTGTCCCACTGTAACTAAAGGATTATGAGCGTTCTCTAATGTACTACTGGCGTGGTTATCATGCTTCAAGAGGAAGTATAAAAAAGAATGATTCAAAGCTTGGAATATACAGGTATTTATTTAACATTTTTTTATGTCTATTTGCCACAAACTCCAATATGATAAAAATATATCCTTGCAAACCTTTGATCTAAAAGTTAGAAGATCAGAGTTTGTGGCAAAACTCAATTCCTTTCTCATTAGAGTTCTAAGGAACTGTCTACGTAAGTTGAAGTTTCTCAGTAGAGTTACATAACTGATTTCCAACGGTGTTCTGTACAATTTTATCTGGGCCTTAAGAAGAAAAACATCTCGTTTTTCTATCTTGAAATTATATCAATTCTGCCAATTTGGATCCTTGTCTCTGATACATAAATGCGTCACTTTTATAGGAAAACCAAAATTTTAAATAATTAATTTTCAGATGTGAAAAGCAGATACAAGAGAGTCTACGTGGATTTGAGATCTGCTAAACAAATGTTATTTTTCATCAAAATTATAAAAAATGTTTACTTAATGAATGTAATCCAAAAACATTTTTTAATCATAGATTTAATCGAGAGTTTAGAAATAAACAATTTTTTAAATAGCAAAATAATTTTCATTTTAAATAGTTCTTGTCTGTTCTTTGCTACCTATCCGCAAAGCTCAGTAGCTATAATTATGTCCTAGCCTAACCGAGGAAAATTGTCCTCATCTAATTCTCGCAAGTATTAAAGAAACCGTTTGTTAAAAAAAGTAAAAACCATTCAATAATTAGAGATTTTGAAAAAAAAACATAGTGGGTGGGTGAATTTTTCATTTTTTCAAAATATGCACAGCTCGAACCGCAGAATTTGTTCGTTTTTATCAATATTTCAAAATGTGTTATATGGGATTTTTACGATTTTAAAATTTATCATTTTCTGAATTCAATTTCGCCCATTTTCTCCAAAACTGCTGGTACGATATTCTTAAGATAATAAGAAGCTGTAGTAATAATATACTCTCGTACTTTTGTTTTTCTACTCATCTAATTTTGAGTAAAAAAATATTAAATCTAATACATTTTTGTCAAAAATTGAGATAACAAAAAAAATGCTTCATTTGATTTTAAGTCCCCACTTTTTGTATTTAAACCCCAATTTTCATGGAGATCCAAATTGGAAATCTTGGGGTCTCCATTGAAATTCTGGTGGTCTCCAAAGAAAATCAGGGGGTCTTCAATGAAAATCTGGGGTCTCCAGTGAATTTAGTGAGGTCTCCAATTAATTTTGTCAGTTATCCAGTGAAAAACTGGGGGTCTACGACGAAAATCCTGGGTCTCAATGATAATCTGGGGGCCTCCATCGACAATCTGAAGTCTCCAATGAAAATCTAGAAGTGTCTACCAAAACTTTGGGGTCTCCAATGAAAAGATTGGGGTCTCCAAAAAATATCTGGGGGTCTCCAATGAAAATCTAGGCCCGGGGGCTGGAATAAAATCTGGGGGGCTCCCACACCATTCTGGGGGGGGTCTTTGGGGTTTTAATGAAAATCTAGGGGTCTTCGCTGAAAATCTTGGGGTCTCTAATAAAAATGTGGGGGATTTATTTGGGTCTCCCATGGAAATCTGGGGCTCTGCAATTAAAAGCTATGGGTCTCCAATGATAATCTGGGGGTCTCAAATGAAAAGTTTGGACTCCCAAAATATGGGGTCTCAAGGCAGAAACTACTCATCTTGGGGAATTTCCCCCTAATGGCCCTAATGGTCGGTTTCTATAAGGCAGAAAACGCACATTACTGCAATGGTCAGATTCTAAAAGGCAGAAACCGCCCAATACCCCGAATTAGTCTGTTTTTATAAGGCATAGAAACCGCTATTACCCCTTATGGTCGGTCTCAAGGGTAAAAACATGTTTCAGAACCCTAACTGTATGTAGAGAGATTTCAGCAATCCTGGCCCATGGTTGCAAACAACAGAAATAGGCGATTTGATTGCACATTGCATCAAATTTGGGACTTTCAAAGAAAAATTTCGAAATATAAACATAATTTTAATCTAATTAAGTATTCATAATATAATTGAAATTCACCCCACTAGAACTTAACATATAGAATTTTGTGCAAAAATCTTTTTATTTCACAAGAGTAAAACATCCATTGTTCATATAATAATATCACTGCTTATAATAATTATGCATAATAAGAATATATTTTGATATTTAAAGTGTTTAATCGGCAATAAGAGGCCCCTTCTTCTTCTTCTTCCCGACCCCAGCCTTAATATAAAAACAGAAAGAAACTGAGTGTTAAACCATCACACTCAAATATTCTAAACTATCCATATTTTCAACCTGAGCTGGGAACTCTTGTATTGTGGATATCGAGATCAATCCTTGATCTTAATCTTTTGTTAATCCTGCAGATTTATTTAATCTTAATACTATATCCGCAGTGAAATTGCACCCTGAAGAGATAACTGAAACGAAGAAATTAAAGGGACCGTTCACTTATTTGGGTAATTTCAGGGTAAACTAAACAGCATATTCGCTGTTGATTAGTAATAGTCTTACTTTTCAAAGACAACTGTGGCCGGAGAAAAAGCCAATTTTTCGTTCAGAATTCGAGCGCAAAGGGACGGTCCCTCTCTATAGACACTAATTGATATTTTTTTCAGTATGTTGTGGATCAAAATAAATTTCGAATATAAAATTAAACTGTAGTATCTAATCGTTAATTGTAAATGTCTTTATTTTTTTTATTTTTGTTGTTTTTTAACTTTCTATTTCTAAAATAACACTATTTTATCGCATTCAAAATTGTGTATTGCCTGTGTAAAAAGCTGAATTGAACGCGGCATGACAAATGAAAAGTTGTGCTTATGCGGGAAAAAATTTACAAAATCTACGAACCTATATACGAGTAATGATTAATTGATTGTCGTAGAGACGTCGTCTTTGTATACACATTTTACATGTTTTAATACGAAATATGTAAGTTTCTTGCTAACTCAAATATCAAAAGTTTTCATATTTTAGTACATAATAACGAACACATAATGACATTCAAATATAATGAATTTATTTGTTATTGGGCTGCTGTTACTGAAAGAAAACTTCAAATAGTGTCTATAGAGAGGGACCGTCCCTTTCCGCTCAAATTCTGAACGAAAAATCGGCTTTTTCTCCGGCCACAGTTGTCTTTGAAAAGTAAGACTATTACCAATCAAGAGCGAATAGGCTGTTTAGTTTACCCTGAAATTACCCAAATAAGTGAACGGTCCCTTTAAGTAGTGATCCTCAAATTAAAAGTGCCCACAGTGGATAACGAGACCAAGCAATCTGGATTATGAGTATCCAACACAAAAGTTTCCAGCTCTGAGCTGAAAACTTTAGAATGGTGGATATCAAGATTAATGCTTAAACTCCTGGTTTTACTAAACCCAAGATTATATCAAAACGCATTCGATATCTAAGAAAGAAGTTATTAAAAAATTAACCAATAGGCGTGTCATTTTAAGATGTACTCTTTAACTTTTGAAACCCGGTTTTGATTTCTGGTGTTTATGGTGTCATATCAATTGAACTAAACATCGATTGAACGAACGTAAGTTTGGATTAATGTTTATTAAGACTAACGTTCAAAATTTCAATAGTCCTAAAATATGTTTTTTAATAATTTCATGTAAACATGATTAAACTTATATTTGTTTAAATGATCTAAAAGTCGGCTTGTGAACAGCTGACTTTAAATCAATCGGATATTAGTCCAATCAATACAGCATTGTATCTGTAATTGTTATCAAACGTAACTTTTACACAGTAGATATATCCAAAAAGAGGATTAAAAAGAAAATCAAAAGTGTGTACATTGGATAATCAGATTAAGTGATCGTGATTAAGGATATCCCATTCTAAAGTTTCCAGCTCTGATCACTCAAACCTGACATAATTTAATCTTTGATTCTTTGATCTTGCAAAATTCATAATTTGACATGTCAAGGTCTTTAAACATCTGGTTGCTCACATATGAGGATTAAAAAGTTAGAATTTGTGGCAATGATCTGTTATGATCTAACCTGTCCATTTTCAGCCCCAATGTCATCGAACATCTCCTCCTCCTCCCTCTGCTTCTTCCTCTCTTCGATCATCTCGGCGGCCACCATGGCTTGCACCTCGTCGGCATTGTAGTACTCGCCCTTGGTTGTGTAGCAAAGGATGAATCCCCAACCAACCAGCAGGGATCCTAACAGGGATTGTCAGTCTTATTAAACAGACTGAAGACGTATTTTAATTGACAAGTGACCCTTCATTTATAGATTGACATGTCCGATTTACATAGGTACCCCTTAAACCTGTATCTG